CGAGCTGATACCACGCACGCGTCCATGCATGCATGGGGCCGCGCATGTGCTGTTGCCCACTTTTTCATAACCGGCGGCAAGCTCGACTCCTCGACGACAGCCGAAGCACGAACCACATCAACACCAAAGCCCGGGGTCCATCCGCGAGATTTGCTGCACTCCGATGGTCTTTGTTCACGATCGATTTTGGCACTCAAGAGTTCGTCTTTCGTCCGTAGGTGGTGGTGGTCCTGGGTTGGAAGGGGGAGGTGTTGAGGCCCGCGCCGGACCGATGACTTCCGGCCGAAAAATGCAAGCATGCTGCGAAGGGTGCTCGATTTCTGCAGTGGAGCCTGATGTTCAACTATTCAACGTGCAAGAAGCTGGCCACAAGGACTTCTGTAGGAACACCACGATGCCTCAGTCTGACGATGTGCCACGGGTTTTGGCGGCGACCATTGCCGTGATAGGTCGCAGATGATGAGTAGTGGCTGGACTCTGGGCTTAGGGCTTAGGGTCTACATCCGGGTTTCGGGTGAACTATTTTGGGCTCGTGCTTTGGGGCTATCATGCTGCTGATGCTGGCCTCCGGACATTCTGTTGCATGTGATGTGGGTGGCCGCCAGGAGTTTTGTTTTTATGTTTTATTTTCTGCAGCTGTCGGCAGTGGGGCGCTAAAGTCTTGCAAGACTTTGGCCTGACTTGGCCCATGCAGAGATTCGACCTCATGCCGAAATGTTTGGGCGCTTATGGGAGTTGGTAGAGGCAATGAACTGGGAAATAATTTTGATAGCCAGAACTGGGAACTAATTTTGATAGCCATCTAAGCCTCCCAAGATAGCTAGAGTATGGGACATGCACTGCTTCCAAACTGAGGACTGGTGTGTTCCGCACGAGTGGAATGGTTCATGCCGGATACTCACTTTTTCAAGCTCAGTTCCATCGCAGGATTTCCATGTGTTCACAATGTTGCTGTCTGCTACGACATGGCCGAAAGGACCTGGAACAGAACTTCCTGGCTCTGGCGGGCGCTGAACAAATAAGCAGCGTCGTTGCTTGGATCCAGGCGCTGTACCTATACTTCCAACATCAAGACCCAAAATAGGCCTTCTAGCATCCGTGCAATTGCCTCCCGAAGCACGCCCTGCACAGGCTCAACATCCGCACGCCAGAATCACTATAAGTTTCAGATCCTGTCAGGATGAGATATTTCGACACAAGTCATCTGTAGGACAGATCCGGCTGTAAGATGCGGCAGCTAAGCCCAATTAAGGCCCCAGGCCCCAAGGGGATCTAAGCCACAGTCCAGGCTACAGGTCGGCGAGGCCGCAAGATGAACCGCGAGTGTGTGGTTCAAGCGCACCTCACAGGTAGATTTATAGGTATTCAGTTCCACCCTTGGAGCACTGGATAGTGAGTTTTCCACAGGCCTGGCGGGTGCCGGGGCGAGCCTCCAGTAGATCGTGCAAACGAGCCAGTGCCCTTCAGGCAAAATGCCCATTATCGGCTACCTGCAGGCCAGGTCTGCAAATGAGTGACTCGTGCAGTGCCCTTAGCAGAACAACTTGTCATAGTGGAATGCAGAGGCCCTCCAGTCCGCAGTCTCCGGGAATGCATTTTCTGGTCAGTCTCCTGTGCAGCGGTCGGAAAGTGTGGATGGAGCGACGGGGTGTAATGCTGTACTGCTGGCATGGAAGCGCAGAGCCCGGGTCTTGTGAAAGTTGTCTTGCAAGGAGCATACTCACTTGGAGCGCGCAGGCGCTTTGGCCCCCTGTCCACTTCGGAAGGCCTTTCCTCTTAAGCCTCACATGTTCTCAATGGCCCGACAGGCGAACGAGCACCGGTCAGCTAAATGTGCCGCCCGGTCGCAGAGCCTCGTTGCAGAGTGGGCATTCCTTTTAAGGAGCCATGTTGAAACGAAGTAAGGAGCGACACAGATCTCAAAGGCCCAATGGATGACTCTGAGGATGCTGCTTGCCATGAGGGGGCCGAGGGCTGCACCATGCGCTTCGCTGCGCTTCTTGCCAAAGACTGGAAGCCAAGGAGCTGGACAGCCAAAAGCCTGGACCCAGTTTCAAGATCGGCTGCCGTCGCAAGGCTTGATGACTGATGAGTGTGATTCCGAGATGCGCTCGGTATCAGATGCCTTCGCAGTCACGAGTCCGCAGATCTACCGTTGCTGTCGCATCGTGCAGGGATTGTTCTGATCGAAATCACGCTGGAGTTGGCTCGGTGCTTAGTGCACTCTGACAAGCCCCGCACCACCTTCGAGACAAAAGAAGCATCAACAACATGGACTTGAGGCTCAACACTTCTCCTCGTGAACGTGCACGCATTTAGTTATCATGTAGCAGCTGGGCACAGCAATCATCGCCCGAGCGCTCACTTACTAGCGCGATGCTCGCGAAAGGGCTAGTGGTATTATATAGCAGTAGTCGTCGTCGTTGTCGCAGTGTTGTAGGATTTGGTCGCAGTGTCGTCGCAGATGAGTGGTAGTAGTGGTGGTGGTGATCGAAGAAGAAGAAGTAGTAGTAGTAGTAGTAGTAGAAGTAGAAGTAGTAGTAGTAGTAGTAGTAGTAGTAGTAGTAGTAGTAGTAGTAGTAGTAGTAGTAGTAGTAGTAGTAGTGGTAGTAGTAGTACTAGTAGTACTAGTAGTAGTAGTAGCAGTAGTAGTACTACTAGTGGTAGTCGTAGTAGTAGTCGTAGTGGTCGTGGTAGTGGTCATGGTCGTGGTAGTGGCAGTGGTAGTGGCAGTTGTAGTGGTAGTGGTAGCAGTAGCAGTAGCAGTAGCTGTCGTTGGTGGTGGTGATGGTGGTGGTGGTGCTGGTATGTAGCAGTGGTAGCAGAAGCGGCAGCATTAGCCAGGGTGGTTGCAGCGGCATTAGCAGCCGGAGCAGCATCAGTGCTAATGCAAGGGCTAGAGTTTTGGTTGCAGCATTATTACAAGTACTATAGCAGTAGCACTCGCAACAAGAACCCTGCACACAACTGTGAGGCAATAGTCGCATCGTTCACATCCTGAAATTTATCATTACGAGAACTAGCTTTAGACAAGATTCATGGAGATGGTGATGACGATTACGATTACAAGGACGATGTTGATGCTCACCAGATTGCTACCTTCCTCGCTTCCTCCTCCCCGTCCTCGTCATACTTCTCCTCCGCGTCGTTGTCACCGCATCCTTCTGATCGACCGTCGCGTTCTCGTGCAACTCCTCCATGGCAACTACCAAAACGAGCGTATCCGCATCGCTGCTATAAACTCTGAACATGACGTATCAGACTCCTGCATCCAAGTGATTCTCAAGCGCTTCTGGGAAAAGAAACGGCAAGCGAACGGAGTGTGATAGTGGTCATGACTCAACGTACTCCTTGTATGTCAGGGCTGATAGCCCTGCTGCTGATTATGATATTGCCGATAATGATGGTGATGGTAACCGGTAATGATCCTAATAATTATCCGGATTGGATTGTAGATGATGTAGGTGATGAGACGGCATTGTAGAGGGCATCGCATATAGTCATATAGTTGCATGCTGTGCGATGATCCGTGTGCTGGTTATTACGTTGGTCGTCTTACGGGGCTGGTTCGTCGTAGTTTGAGACCGTTTATTTGCAAGGGCGTTACATTTAAGGGTACGAACGACATTTGAGCAGGCGCGCTCCTTGCCATTGTTTATAGCCGCTGTCAATCTTCCGGCCGAGTCGCGACAAGGGCAGGACGCACATCATGAATCGTCTACGCTCTCGCTTGACATCTGCCGTATCAGCTGAAGCTTTCCTGAGCAGTTCTACCCAGACCATCCAGCCTTTGCGGACCCGGCCATTGACAAGTTCAGTTAGGTTCAGGCCTTTCGACAAAGGCAGCCACGCTTGGCACAGGGAGACAGCAGTCCTTGTGACTGATCGAAGCTTTGAAAGGCTGAGCTGTCAAACGTGAGATTTTTGACTCTCACGAACAGACAGGGCCTCGAAGTGGAGCCATTTGCGAGCCTAAAGCCAGATTCGGTGCTGCATGGTCAATGGTAACGTAAGCAGCATGTACCGTTGTTGAATAAGCCGATCCTTTCTCACAGCTGTATATCCAAAAACTCGGCAAAGGCCCATTTCGGTCCTTTTTTGGCTGCTTGCGCACAGGCGTGGAGGTGTGACTTTCAATGCACGCGAGACCCTCGAGGCGCGAATCCAGGCGGATTTTGTGCAGCGGGGCGTGCTCCGTCGATGCACCTCCTGCTCCTGTGAGCGCTCGTGGTTGACCACTAAACAGAGTTGCTGCAAGACGACAAGGTGTGCCTTGAAACGGTTGTTGCATCAGTTGCCCCATGCGATTGCGAGCAGAACTGGCAGGCACACAATGTGGCACACATGTAAAGCCTTTAGGACTGCTTCTTTCAGGTAGAATTTCAGCTCATTATTTCCAACGCACCATCGTTGGCATTGAAATGCGAGGGCGCTGGCATTTAATTTGCACTTAGGGTCCAGGGCTTAGGTTAAGGGTGTGTGCAGCTTTGATTTTTGGAGACTGGCATGACTTGGACTCACATGCGTGGCAGGGAAAGTAACAGTCTTTGCTGAAGGTCGTGGTCTAATTCATGGAGATGGCCTGCATTATGCACGGTCAGAAGCATGTGCCGACCTACCATGGGCTTTTCGTGTCTTGCAAGAAGCAACCAACCTGAAATCCCATCATCAGAATCAACATACTCGCGAATCGCGGGATGCTGAGCATCACGGGCAACACATAGAAGACGATGCACTTTTGGAGAGGCTTGATCACGTGCTGGCGGCGGAGTAGCAGTTTCTGACTTCAACCATGCCGGAGCAGTCACGCTCAATTCCATACGGGGAGTGTTGGGGAGTGCAGATGAAAATTATGACATAGCAAGGCTTTTTAATGTCACAGATAGCTTCTTTTTTGCATTTGCAGGGGGAGCAGGCTTGGGCACTTGCAGGGGTTCCACTTTCAAGGGTTCCAGCTCTGCAATGCTCACGAGCTTATCGCAAGCGAAGACGGCTGGAAGATGGATTCGGTGATTGCGAGAGCTTTCGCAGCCTTTGAAGGGCGGCATTTGGCCGAACTCCTGTCAGAAGGCGTTGAGGATGAGGAGGCGCAGGTTGTTGTCCTCCAACAGTGGGAGGAAATGGAAGAGAGTGACCGTGCGAGATGGGCGTCTGATCTCGAGGTAGATGCGGTGGCTCCAGAAGTGCTCGCACCGCCGCAAGTCGAGCCTGTCCAAACACCGACGCCTTCAAGAGCGCGAAGGAAGAGGCCGCTCTCCTCAGCGTCGCTCTCCCAAGCCGAGGAGAGCGGAGCGAAGGCCGCGAAGGCTGTGAAGGCGGTGAGGCCGGAGGACCAGAGCGCTCACGGCGGTCACAACCATGATCCACAACCGATCCATGTCGCTCGCAATGCTCGCAGTGCGCCTGCTGGTGATTGGATTTGTCCAGCGCACATCCTGGAGCCGTCGGAGGAACCAAATGCAGACATGAAAGAGTTGCATGAACAGGACGATGGTTCGGAAGGGCGCGGACGTGGAGCTAAGGAGGAAGAGTCGGAGAGGAGACAGCATTCCTTTCGCACGTCTGAAGTGGTTCAAGTGGGTGGGAAGCATCCTGATTGGCTGACGGAGCCGGCAGCCGTAGCAGAAATCTCGCTTCCAAGACTGTCATCCGACGATTTGGTGTTCCTTCCCAGGTCTGTGGCCGAGGAAGGGCGCTTGAGTTCTGTGCAGATGGAAAGCGTTGCATATGCGGCTCGCCGCTTTCGCTCATACCTGCCGTCCGGGGCTCGTGCTGGGTACTATTTGGGTGATGGCACTGGCTGTGGAAAGGGCCGCATCATCGCCGCTCTTATCTGGCACCTCTGGAACAGCGGGGCGAAACGACACGTATGGTTGAGCTAGCACCTCAGTTTTAGCTTTGCACGGTCCGAGTCCGAGTCGCGAACAGACTTCAGTGAGGTGCCAGCAGTGACCTTCTGGAGGATGCAGCGAGAGATTTTCGAGACCTTGGAGCAGCAGTGCCTTTATGCAGCTTGTCCTCCATGGGTTATGGACCTCTTTCGGGTCATGGTCTGGATGCCGACGGCAACGGGGTCATCTTCGTCAGCTACCAGCTCCTCGTTGCCTGCAAGGGCGGTGCATCAGGTGTGCCTACGCCCGAGACCTCCAGGCTCGGCCAGCTCGTCGATTGGCTTAGGCGTGGCAAGGGCGGTGCCTGTGGGCTCATTGCCCTCGACGAGGCTCATCGCACGAAAAACGTGGGTTCGGAGACGCAAGCTGGCTCCAAGTCCGGGCTCTCAGCGCTGGAGCTGCAGCGCGCCTGTCCTGGAGCTGCAGTGCTCTATGCCAGTGCCACTGGAGCCACGGAGCTGTTCCTTGGCTAGACCAAGACACGACTACAAGACACCGAAGTAGAGCGGTGCAGGAATTCAAGAAGTACAGCACAAGAAGTGGGCAGTCGATCGTGCACCAGCATGCTTCAAGTTTTCTTGTTTGTGGTGACCTTAAAGAAATCCTTCACAAATAGGCCCTTAGCCCTCAAAATGGTTGGTGCGGCTGAGACTAGATGAGAAAAGATGTGAGAAGAACCAGCAAGTGCTCTATCAGCACTAAGCAGATCAATGCAGATCACTGCCAAAAACCGAGCTCAAGGCTTCTTCGGGCCCGGAAGGTATCAACTTTATATTGCCAGCGCTGGCATAGACCGCAGAGCTATAATGAGCAGACCCGTATTGTTCGTTCAGGTGTTCGTCCTTCGTTGCTTGGTTCTGACAACGCTGAGATTTTGAGCAGCATGTCCGACAACTTCCGAACGTGGGCCCTGGGGCCCAGAACGTGACAGACTCATCTCAATCGAAGCAAGAAGCAACTGCCCAGGCGACACCTGGGATACCTGGAACGCCTGGGCTTGTGGGGCAAAGGTCGTCCTCACAAAACTTTCGAGGAGTTGCGCTTTGCCGTAGAAGGAGGCGGTCTGGCGGCCATGGAGTTGCTTGCAATGACCATGCGCGCGGAAGGCATGTTGTCTTGCCGCTCACTTTCCTTCAAGGGCGCTTCCTTTCGCTTGGTGCCTGTTTCTCTGGGGACAGAGGAAGAAGCAGCCATCTACGTGGGCTCCTGCTTATTCTGGCAAGCAGCCTTCCGAATAATCGTACGTCTGCTGAAGGCACGTACGCGCGAGGTCAGACGGAAGAAGCTCAAGCATACCACCGAGCTCAAGGAGAACTCTGTGCACATGCGCAACTTCTGGAGTGCGCAGCAGCAATTTTTCCGACAGCTCTTGATTTGCAGCAAGGTAGACGCAACGGTGAAACTTGCGGAAGCTGCGCAGCTCAGGCCGAGCATCGCCCAACATAATCCTGTAGGTCTGAGATGTTTTACCCAGACATGAGCACAGACGAGCATGAGGATCTCTACATCAATAGCTATAAGGAATCTTTGCCCTGCATTTGTCGGGCCTCCCTCCCTCCCTCCCCTCCCTCCCTCCCTCTGGCTCTCTCTCTTTCTTTCTCTCTGTTTCTTCATGCATGGAGAATGCTCAAGATGCCAAATTCCCTGGAAGGGGTGAGGCGGTGGTCGTTGCTATGTGGTCGACGGGCGAGTCCGTCACGGAAGCCGTCGCCAACCGCAAAGGTGACCGCAGCGCTGCAGCTGCGGGTTTCGCATCGGCACCGAAGGAGGTGTGGAGAAGTGTGTTGCACCGGCATCCGCGCTATCAAACAAACCGACCACAGCTGAGGTGGCCTTTCGAATGTTAAATAATCTCCTCAGGACCGGGGCAGAAGAAATGGCCGAGGGCTCTGCAAAGTTTGTTGTTCAGGACGCTGGCTGAGGCAGTCGAGTCTGAACCTTCCGCCCTACAGGACTTGCGGGGCTGTGTTTACTTTTTACTCCGATCGCCGCATCCTATCTGCCCTTGTTGTGTAGGAGATCCAGAAGGCCGAAGCAGAGTTGGAGCGGCTCCTTGCTCAGTTCCGGGCTTACGCAGGAGGCGAGTTTGGACATGGGCCCTGCTGAGGCTACAGCTTCCTCCGAACCCTCTGGATGAAATCATGCGAAGGCTTGGCGGCCCTGCCAAGGCACTCCGAAATGTGGTGGGGCCGAGGCTTTGAAGGCCGGTTCAGGTGGTGTAGTTTCTGAAGCGGGCCAACTTCCCTAGGGGCATTGCGCAGAGTGCACGAGAGAGTCCGCAGCTCGAGCCCTTCCTGAGCCTTCTGATGGGCGATCGCCAAATCCCCAAAGCTCTCTCAAAACTTCAAAGCAAACAGAGAGAAAGTGCCACGATCTGCTTATCCTGCTTGAAGAATTCCATTGCTCCGCAGGTTGCCGAGCTTACCGGAAGATCGCGCCGCCTGGTCTTTAACGAAGTCACCGGGGAGACACGTTTCGAGGTCCCAGTCCCACTCATTGCATGATGCCTTCGTCAGCCAGCTGGAGCCAGGAGCGCGGCGACCGGGCCAACCTTGAGGAGAGACCCAGAGACCGGCTGGAACGGTCGCCCAAAAGTCCAGCCGCCGTGTCACACCCAGGAGCTGCGAAGCTTTCAGCTGGGCCGCAAGCAGGTCGCCATCGTCACTGAGGCGCCCAGGTCCAAGCCTCTATTGGCACTGCAAGAGGGGCTTCGTGCTGTCAGGCTGCAAGCGCCGGCATCAGCTTGCATTGCGACAGGCCTGGGCAATCTTAAGTTCATCCGTGTATGCGTGCAGATCTGCGCTGCCTTTATGCAATGACGTAATGTATTGCCAGCCCATCTTTACAGCAAGCTTAGCGAACCAAAAGGTGGCAGACGAACGCTCACCACTGCAGGTTTGCCCCCCTGACCGATTGCCACAACCGTCTTGTGCACAAATGTGAATAGGCCCGAGATCGAGAAGCGGGCTTGCCTACGTTCTGCTGGTCTAGTTTGCTAGCTGTAGACATTCAATATCGGCAGAGCAGGGGAAGCTACACATCAAGAGAAAAGCACTTGTTCTGATGCTTATGATGCTGGTACCTGTTGGCCGCAGCGGCGGCGGCTGTTCAGTTGTCGGACGAAATTCGTCGAGTTAGCTTTCGTCCACCGCGGGACCAAAGGGGCAAGCGGTGACCCAAGTTTTCCAACGAGTATCTTACCGTAGGACATGCACGAATACGCCCAGCAGAAGCTGTGCGGCAGTTGCTTCCTGATCACTGCGACAGAAGTTTCATTGAAGTTTCCGGACAGACTGCAGCATCTGCAGCCCCAAGCTCAAGCTCGTGAACAGGCGACTGCCGGAAGAGGCGCAGAGGCTGCCTGCTACAGGGCCGCTTCATATCGACTGAAGTTGGTCATAATGCAGCAACGTCCTGCGCAGCCAGGCCACGGTACATGATCTCGATTGAGATGCCCTGGGAGGTGAGGGTTCCTGCCAACCAGCCAGGTCGCCTTCATCAGGTATGTGTAGAGTAACACCAGATACCATGCGTGGGGCATCCCTCAGCTGTATTCGTCAGACAACACAAAGCGCCAGGGCCTATGAGCACACATGCCTTTTCGGGTTAAGAGCTTAATGCAGAATCTGGCAAGCCGATCACACGAACAAGCTGTTCAAGCCACAGCATTTGTTGGCTGTTAGCTCTTTTCTTGGTTTACTTGGGCGGCGTTGGGCCATGGCGAGCGCTGGAGCGGCTGCTTGGAAGCAACTGCGGCATTTCAGACATCGCGATCTGTTGCTGGGTACCTTGCTGCGGGCCTTTGAGCGGGATCAACTCGAGTGCCGAGTTCTGCAGTCCGAAGCCTTTCGGCCTCATTTGACACGATGGGCCGAGCTGCTGCTTGCAGAGGGCACCTCCGGCGCCGAGGCCAGTCCGCACGAGGTTCCTGGGGAAATTCTCGAGGCAGCAAAGCAGGGCCCAGCAGAAGTGCGCTGGCTTCTCCGACGACTCTCTAGCAAAGACATGCAGCACCGCGGCCTGCCTCACTTTCCATCCACGCTCCTCCAACGGGGGCCCCAGTACCCCTTCCGGCCTTTTGAGCTAACCTACCTCCGCTCCGTCGTCGGAGGGATCCGTGGTACCGAGCTGATCCAAAAGATGGAGCTTCCGGAACCCACGGAGGAGGCCAAGGCGAAGGCGGAAGAGTTCCATCGGGGCGCTCCGGTTCGAGATCTCTGGGCCGAAGGCTGCTTGGACGATGACGACCACAGAGACCCTTCCAAGCCCCCAAGATAAGCCGGAGCTTTCGGAGCGCCACCCACCACGCTTCCGGTTTCACTGATGCTCGAACTCCGCCGACATTGTGACACAAAGCAAAAGCTCTCACTTGCATCGAGTCAAAGAAACTGTCCGGAAGCGGTCTGCCTGCGTTGTGCCAGTGCGGTTTGTTTCGGAGCCAGGCCGACAAGGCCATTCAGCAGCTCGGGCGAGTTCACCGCAGCAACCAGCGGGTCACATGCTCCAGCCGTCAGCCTTGATGCCATCTCTGAGCCTGCATGCGTCCTCCGCCTCAAAATGTCTGGACCGTTCTTGGTCAGGTTCCGCCCCGATTCGCCTTTGTGGTCACGCAGTTGGGCGGCGAGGCCCGCAGCTAGACAACTTTTCCTGCGCCGAGCCCTCAACCAGTCCTTGATGCATCGGAAGGAACTTTAGGCTCTGCTTGTTGTAGTCACCTCTGCAAGTTCTCGGTGCCATTCGAACAAAAGCAACAAGTCTGCATTACATGCTGATGCTTCTCCTCGATCATTCGCATGAAGCAAAGCTTCGTCTTCTGGCACTGAGACTACAGTTGGATCCAGTTCAGTACAGCCAGCCACGGGCTTTCTGCACGAGCGAGACGGCGAGTACTATTTTCTGACGCGGAAGTCCTCCCGTACGTTTGGAGAGCAGTTGGGCACTGCAGCTGATGGAAGCCAGCACAATCTGGCAGGCAGGAGCATGAGCTCGGCTTTTGACATTCTGATATTAGCTTATCCTGAGGCCAGCTTTAAGGCTGCAACTCATTCGCGACCCAGACTGGGAACGGCGTTGGCCACTGCAGAAGCTCGTGTTCTCTCAGTTGCGGGCACGGGGCTCGCCGCGACGAGCATCTTCTGCAATCGTGTGTTTGGTCCGCAGTATGTCCAACAAGAGATTTCAGCTTTACTGTGATTGTAACTTCTGGCCACACTCCCTGCTTCACTGAGGCAGGTATTGCAGACTGGCAACCTCTGCTGGTCAGAGTTTCCTCCAAGCGAGTAGCACCCTGCTGCACCTGCTGCGTGGCTTAACCTCAGTCTTTAGTCTTGCATGTCACGTTGGCATGCACGAGGCTTACATTGTGCTCCCACAGTGCCCTCCCCTCGTGACCTTCTACCGTCCCAATTCATGCAGCCTTCTGCCCGCCACTGGGCCCAAGCAGCTTTTAGCTGCATCAGCGTGGTGGAGTTAGGTTTAGAGTTTTAACTCGAGGAAGGATGGGGGGAGGGCCTTCCACAGTTCAGGCGACTGTGGTGCCGGTGATCAGCAGTCCTGAGATGTTCCCCGGGAATCACCCGACGGACTTCTGCCTGTGTGCTAGCGGTGGGGGGTCCCGTGCCATGAGCTTCACTTTGGGCGTGTACCGGGCCCTCTGGAACTTGAATGTCATACAGAAGTTGGATGGTATCAGCTCGGTCTCCGGCGGCACTTGGGCCAGTTCTGTCTTCATGTTCGGCAAGACTTTTAGGGGACAGAACATTGACACGGCGACGATGCTGGGAGGAGTGACAAAACCTTCCTCCCTTACGCTTGAGGTGCTAAAGGCGGAGGCACCGCCTCTTGCGTGGGGCCTCACGCAGGCAAGGAGTACGCAGCTTTTCATCAAAAACGCCGCGAAAGATGTTCTCAAACCTTTGGCAGACAAGGACGTGTGGACGAAGACCGTAGCAGACTTGGTCCTGGAGCCGTGGGGTCTCGAGAGCATGGATGCGTGCATGGCATTGTCGGAAGAGGACGTGTCAAGGATTCGTTCGAAGAATCCGCAGCTGGGGGACACAAAGTTCTGCACCTTGCGGAGCGATCGACCGAGACTCTTTCTGATGAACGGGGCGCTGCTGGCTCCTGCCGGCTTCCAGACCAACGGTGATGCCATTGTGTCCTTCCAGGCAAGCCCGGACTTCTCCGGAAGCCCTTTCTACCCTATGGATGGATTGGTGGACTATCGCCCGGATGTGAACTTTAATCCTGCTTCAGTCCTCTTTTGCTTCAGCAATTGCTGTCGACAGGACCTGATGGTCCCCGTGGGCGGCGGCCTGGTCGAAAGCTTTGCCTTCGGAGGCCAGGCCCCCGACACAATGCCTGAGCATGCTGCCGAAGCAGCAGTGGGTCGGCCCGCGAGACCTCTGTCTCTGGCTGATGCCGTGGGCATCAGCTCCTATGCCCCTGCTTCAGCGCTGGCAAACGACCTGTTCACCCAACGGAATTTCAGCATGAAGAAGGAGTATTGGCCGGTTATTGGCGGTGTGATGTTGAGCCCCCTCCACAACATGGCCAGGGTCATTCCAGCGAGAGAGTACCAGTTCGGCGATGGTGGGAACATCGACAACAGCGGGTTGCTTCCACTCCTGCAGCGAGACGCTAGAAATGTGATCTATATTGCCACGAGCTATCGAGCCTTGAGCACGACTTACGACTTCGAGACGGTCACACAGGAGGACTTCGACCCCGATGCAGCGTTGGTCGTCGATCAGTTGTTCAGTCTCTTCGGCTATGGCAGCTTCGCTTCGGTAAGTCCATCTACGAATGTTGTGATAAGTCAGGTAGCACTAATACACTAAATAGCCCCATCCCAACCCTGGCAGAAGCTGGGGCCTGCGGGATCTTGGCCTCCAAGGCATGGACGACCAGGCCCAGGGCTTCTTCAATTCCCACAACCAGGTCTTCCAGAAAGCAGCGCTGCTGCCCATCGTGCAGAAGATCGCTGGACTCAAAAAGCAGGGGAAGCCGGCGGTCATCAGGGAGACCCTGGAGGCGATCAGCAAGCGGACAAACTTTACACAGTAGAAAGTCCAACACGAGCTTTGCTTGTAAAGTCCTACAATCGTAGAAGCTTAAGCCCACATGTTGCGCACGTGAAAGAAGCCTCGCAGAGTCAGAGACACATCCGAAAGTCAGAAGCTCGGAGCCTTGCTTGAGGTGCTTCCGAACAAATACTGGGGCATCAAGGGTGGCTACAATGTGACCTTGGTCTTGATTTATCTGGAGACGGTGCAGGACTTTCAGGACCAGCTGCCTGCAGAGACACGACAAGAAGTTGCGAGAGGAAGTGAAGGTGCTTTTGCCAATTATCCAATCTACGCCACCAACAACAACAACGGCTTGAACACCTTGGATCTGACTGCCGCTCAAGTAAACCTCCTGGCAGCCCAGGCCGAATATTCAGTGATGCAGAACGAAGGTTTGATCAAACAGTTTATGGCCAGTGCGAAGAAGTAGTGCCTGCCCGCCAATGCGTTGTCGGCAGTACTGTGCAGGCCCTGTGAAGTATCTTGTAGGCATAGCGCGAGAGGACTGACAGACCTTGCAGCCAGGTGTTTTTGCATTGTGCCAATTATCGCAGATTCTTTTGAGAGTGTCCTTCTCGTGCACAGACCCAGAGGTGGTTTATAGGCACGTTCAAAGTCAACGTCTCGGAGCCTGGGCGTGTTAATCGACCGACCCGAGCACAGCCCCAAGGGTGAGCATCCTTGAACGATTCCGGCAACCGGACTGCCGAGGGTGTTGAAGCCTCCAATGCGGTAGATGTTGCAGTCGCACTCGGCATGGTGATTAAAGTCATCGAGCTGAGTTCGGTAGCGGGATGTAGAAAATGAATAACTTTGATTCGCGAGGTGCCTGCGATAGCATGGGTCAGGTATAATGTTTAACACAGAAAGACATGAGGAATGCTGTGACACCGATGCTGGCAGATTGCGTTCTAGATGATGACGTCCAGGATTGGCGTGATTTGCAGGGCTAAGTGCTGAAATCCAAGGTCTCGATTGTTCACGACCCCCAAGCCTTTCTGGTGGGGATCGGCGACGCGAGGACGACCTGCCGTTGAAGCTGCCAGCAGCTCAACACTGCATTGAATTGAGTTGTGATCAAAACCGACCGCTCAGCCGCCTTACTGCACTCCAGAGAAGCAAATCTTGTGAAGGGCTCGTATGTTCAAGGCGGACTCCTATCTTATTCGAAGAAGGTATGAAGGGCTGAGGACCGTTTTTAAGGACCTGACGTGTGTGGAAGTGCTTGATCATTCCACGCAAGCATAGGTCAGAAAGACACTTGCTGAAATGGCTTGGCCTCGATGCTTCGTGAGGTCTTTGTACCTGCTGTTCCTGAGCTGACAAAGCCATCAAAAGCCAACCCAAATCTGCCGTGCCAACATCGGCAATGTGTCACCAAGAACTTCTGGAAAGCTGCTGGCAGTCGAAAGCAGTCGATCTGGGGTGTTCGGCCCACCATGAGCGCTTTCTGCCCTTGGAAATGCTCAGATGATACCTTTCAGTTTGCCGGTGTCGGAAGTCCTCCTTCAGTCACGCTGGACACACCTGTGCCAATTACCCGTAGGCTGATCTCGGAGAGCTGATTTTGGTATTGGCCTTGCTAATTTACGGGTATCTTGAGTCAGTGTCTTTTCGGGTTTGCAAGCCTAGCTGGGCCTGGCTGGTCCGGTGGGTTCCCGTCATCAAACACAGCGCTCAGCAGTACGTACCACATCCACGTTTTGTGAAGTATCTGATGAGCCCGGCCCGAATCTTGTTTCTGTTTGGGATCTTCCGACGCAGCCCCAAGAACACGAGCAGAATAGGAAACCCACAGGAACAGTTGTCAGTCATGTTTGAACGAAGTGCATGCGCCAGAAAGGGGTCCTGTCGCAAACAGGCTTAGGACGTGTTTATACGGCAGGACAGGATGGTGCGAAGAGCATGGGCGGTCGGCGTGTGTTCGATCGCTTTCTTGCTTGCGTTAGGCAAGCAGCACAGTCAACTCTTCACACGAGTGGTAAGGGCTCCGCCGGCAAGTGTAGCTCCACTCTCGCACAAGGATTTGGCTCACGGCGCGCGGTCCGAGTTCCTTGAGTCGTGGATCACAAGCAAGCGCCACAACCAGTTGACTTGGCTGCCTGCAGAGAGACGTCAGGTGAACAGCCAGTTCTCTTCCATACTCGTTCTTGGGGATTCGTACGCTGATGACGTGGATATGGGCTTCTTTTGTTGGCCATCTCGCCTTGGGCAGAGACTGAAGTTGCCAGTCCTGAACGTTGCTCGGGGCGGCTCTGAATCAGCCCACGTCAGCGCGCAACTGGAACGTGCGCATGCCTGGACGCACGAAGACTTCGCGCTGGACATCCAAAGCCTCCTCATCTTGCACACAGGCGGCAATGATGCTTTGCACTCGTTGAGGAACCCTCGGATGCTGGCACTGTTACTTTCAGATTTGTATAGTCTTCGCAGTTCTGGCGAAGACCAGCCGGAGTTGAGCTTTCCAAGAGAGCTGGGCAAGGCTGTCACTTCAAGGCTCGACAATTTTTTTGCCAGTGCCGCTGTACATGGGCACCGCCACATCGTCCTGAGCACGTTGCCCATCATCTCCTGCCTGCCATTGGCACGGCTCCTTGTCCAGCTTCTGGTGCCCGGCGCAAGCGCCGGCTTTGTGACCAAGAGCTTGCAAGCTCTCGGGCGCTCCATCAATCGATGCGTCTGTGGGGATATCCAAAGCCTCGCGGCTAAGCACGGGGTCTACGCACAGGTCTTTGACGAGGCCTCCCAGCTGGAGCTGTTGGCAGACGAGGCAGGGGCCTCGCAGCTCGGACTTTCGGACGGCTTGAGACTTGTGCTTCGGCAGCTTCAGCGGATCCTTACCGGACCCGTGAAAGACTCCGGCTTCTGGCACGATGGCCACCACCCCGCGGCAGAGGCTCACGAGCGTCTCGCAGAGGAAGTGGAGAAGATCCTGCATGCTTCTCCGCCTCCTGGCGCGGCCCTCCGTTGACAGTCACCTGCCAGCCGCCAGCCAAGGGAAAAGGAGTTCAATGTGAGTCAATGACGGTGCCGGGATCCAATCCTACAAGCTCCTATCCCTTCTCTTGTGCTTCATAAGCGACCTGCAACCGCAGCTGTGGAAAAGCTACAGAAGCCACAGAACCCAGTCCCGAATTAAGCTGTAGAAGCGAAGATGCTGGGGTGGCAGGGGGTCAGTTCAAGAACAACTCAAGAAGCAGGATGCAAACTCCCCTGGTGCCTCGGGCCAGGTGCGCTTCGTGTCGACAGTGGCACGCCGCTTGCGGATTCTTGGCGTTCTGGCCTCAGACCAACCTCTCTTGCTTTGATTTGCCCAAAGCTTTGGAAAGACATCGTCCGTCGGATTCCTTGTTTCCTAGCCGGCATGTTGGTGTTGGAAAGTTGACAATTGTTGCGACATGCGTGGGGTGGCATTTAGAAAGATCCTGAACTTCTGGACGCCGACGTCCGCCAAGGCCATGATGAGGGGTGATCGCAATTCTGCGCACGGCGCCGTCAACAGCTTGGCCAGCTTCGACATGCAAAACCGCCCTCCAGCCGCAATCAATTGGCTGCTTCTTGACATGCGCTTGTGGAGAAGCCGTTGCATGATCGTGCAAGGCTATGGACGCCAGGCTCTGGCGCGTTTCTTCGAACTGCTTCGAACTGGTCAGCAGCCGGAGGTGAGAGAGCAAGTCGGGGGCGGCTCTAGCATCAGCGACTGTTGGATGCCGCTCTGGTATCGATCTTGAGGTCTCCTTCTCCTTCTTGGCTCGCCGGGGTCGACAGACAAGAACCCAATGGCAAAGCTCCTTGCCTGAAGCTCCTTCAAGCTCCGCAGCCAGACTCTAGTGTGCAGGCTGGCCCGAGTTCAGGAAAGCAGCAGAGAAGGCCCAAGTTGGATGCTGGCCGTCTGTTCTAGTTCCGCTTGGAACAGCAAGTTTTGGGGCACGAAGGCTCTTGACTTGATCGGTCTTCGACCCGACACGGAAGACAAGTACGAGGTTCGGAGCAGGATGCGGAAATGTGAGCATTGCGACATGTGCAGCTCTGAGAGGAATCTCTTTCGGAGTCCAAAAGCTTGAACGTCTTTCTGAACAGGCCGGATGATCAATTCTGCAGTTGTTCAGAGTCCTTCGATGCCTGGTTCAAGGTTGCTCATGCTCGAACCTGTGATGCAAAACGCTCTCTTCGATGCCGTCGCGGAGCTGTATGCACACCTTGTGAGCCCCAACCCGAATAAATTCAACACATGAGAGTGCCGTCGAGCAGAGCCACGCTGTGAGGTCTGGACCAAGCTTCGGGAAGCTACGACGGGGGACCCGAGCTCCTCGATCAGAAGCCGCTGGGACTGTGCTTTCACTCTCCCCTTTCTTCTGAGACGAATTTGCATCCGCCACATCTCGTTGGTCTGCTGAGAGGCGCGGCATCCAAGCAGAAGTCTGGCCCCAAGCGAAAACAGTGCTTGCCTGCAATGTCGTTGCTGTGATCTCCCAGGTCCGGCTTGCGAAGCGCGAGGTGCAAAGGATTTGCTGCGCTTCTGCTCACCTTCTGGATGTTGCCGGGCAGGTGCTCTTCGAAGATCCCGTGACCGGAGCCGAAACGGCAATCTGGCAGCAGAAGATGTGTCTGCCAAATCTGCCAACTGCTAGCCTAAGGGTCGTTTTCAACTCCTAGCCTGCTATCTGCATGCTTCTTGCTGCATTCTACTCCAACTCTGCAAAAAGACGCTGCCAAGTGCTTCTTGTCTGGCACTCGAACTGTATTTCACGGATGCGATGTTGCATATGTCGTCTCTCCCACTTTGACCGGATTCCACATGACAGTGACATACATCTGTCATACAAGTACTCGGCTCACGAACCAACTCAGCAACGAGACCTGGATGCACATGGCTTTCACCTCATGCCACCTTTCCCCGCTGAGCGATCGTGGCAGATCTTGAACTGACCGACATCAGTTCTCGCCGAAACCTCACATCCTCAAGCGTGCAGCCTCAGCATGCTGCCCAAACCTCTCTGAACCCTGTCTCGGTGCCAGACGTGTTTTTCCATCTCTTGTGTGTTGACGATGGACAATGGCACGCAGGCGTCCCGGAGGCTCGTGGCCAACTGCCCTCCCAGCAGTCGTCGCATCCACGCCAGGGAATCGTTTCGCGTTTCAAAACTCAGAAAGATCGGAAGTCAGTGATCGGCTTCGGTGGACAGCAAGGCATCAACAGAGCATGACTTTGAGTGTGGCCGCTGTCTGTTGAAGTCCTTTAGTGTTGTGAGGTGTTGTGGTTCTGTGTTAGATTCGGAGATACGGTTGGTAAGCAAACGCCGCAACATTCCACACGCACGCATGTGACGCTCTCCCTGCGAAGCTCAACCAGGGAAACTCGACCTTCTGGATCCACCGAGAGCACTTATGCTGAACATGCAGTGTTTAGGCCGTTGCACAGGGCCTGTGAGCAGAACAGCGAAAACACAGCGATGCCCAAGCAACACTCACAGAAGCAGAAGACAGACACTTCTGCCAGAGTTGTGCATCGTCCTGTCTACTTCCAGCGCTGCTGGCCGAGGCATACGTCCGCTTGAAGCTTGATCGTGGCATGGCCTGGGATGCAGCAGAGGAGGCTTTCAGACGTATTAGGTACGATGGCACAGCTCAGGCCGAGTCAGCTTCTTCAGTGCATAGCCCTGCAGGTGCTTGACCGCTGCGGAGGACGTGCTGAAGAGGTCGAAGGGTTTTATTGGTTCCCTGCCTACACGCCGAGATCAAGCTCCGCCTCTGTCGTACTGGCTGTTGCGCGACCCCTGCTGCGCGGAGTGCGTTTGGGGGCTTCGGGGCAGTCAGATGACGAGCAAGAGGAAAGTGATGTCGAGTGCGAACTGCACTGGCCGCAGGGTCCTCCAGCTGGTTGCGATCTCGAGCACCGGGTATATGCCTCTACGTTGCGGCAGGGCGAGCGTTTCCGAAAAGCCAAAACTTCGGAGCTGGGTCAGGTTCAGTCTGCATGGCAGGCAGCTTGGCAGCTTCGCAATGCGTCTGAGCGCTGGCAGGAGGAGCATGTTCTAACTGGATCAATCCTGAGCACTTGGGCGGTTCTCGGGACTGCCATTGGCACCTCACAAAGCTCGAAGGTGCGCAGAATACCACTCGTCAGGGCGAAGCTGACAGATGGCGGAGCAATTGTCGGAGTTCGCGTGCAGCCGGAGCGTATCCAAGAAGTGAGATACCTTCTTTCTGCGATCTCGGAGCAGGGAGGCACCAGCAAAGAGAGCACGAAGGTGGAGTCGGTGGAGTTGGCAGATGAGGAGCAGGTCGATCACATCGACGTCACGCGGCTTTCCGCGCAGCTGGAGGCAGTGTCGTTCCAAATGAGAACTGTAAGTCAATGAGCTGTCACAAGAGTTCCTGTGCGTCTGCTGATTTCTCCAGCCTCAAGTGTCATGCACTGCCAACACGTGTTTAGGGCCTGTGGAGTACAGCAGCCGAAGCCCGTTGCCTCAACGGCAATGGCATCTGCACAACTGCTGCCGCCTGAAGACAATGTAGACCTCCAGCCGATAGCCGATAGCACCGTGTCACCCAGTCAGACCAGAGCGTTTCTCTCTCGGGCTTTCGCGGGAGGCATGAGCAACTCAAGACAGCCGCCTTCGAATGTGCGTTCGTACGAAGCAAGCGGAGAAGGTGCAGTGTGGCGGAAGCACAAATCACCACTTGTGGCTTCCGACAGCTCTTCTGATAAACCGGACCGCTAGGGATGTAGACTCGGTCCCATGCCAGATTGCACAGCAGCTGAATGCCATCGAACGAAGGCCATTCTCCGGTTCACCGCTTTGAGGCTTTGAGCGACGAAAATAGCAAGCCTCAATTCGCTTGGCGCCGGCCAAACGAAGTGGTCAGAGGTTCCCCGCGCGACCCCCAAAAATATTTTTCACTCTTCTTAGTCCCTCTTGGCTCAGCCCCCCACCCCCACCGTTTGTGGCTCCGCTCGTGTCTCATTTCTACCAGGACAACTTTTCACCTGCGTCCGGGTCGAGGTGGACAATGCGAAAGCGAGAGCGAACAGCGCACATCAGCCTGTACGGCTGCAGGGTGTGCCTTTCCGTCGGCGTCCTTCGGACCCGCGTATTCGAGCGATACCATCTGTCGGGCTCAGACAGATGCTGTGGGTCTGACCTTGCATGGAAGCCGGCACCAGGAAAAGTCTTGTGCGATGATTGTGCCTGCATGCAGTGCTCTCATGCAGATTTACTTGGGAGCTAAGCGAATCTACCTAACAAATCTTGCTCCAAACATGGCGACATGTTTGAGGCCTTCCTGCGAACGCAACCCGATCAGCGTGCTGTCTGGCACGGCTGGGCGGGTGCCCACAAATTGCTTGTGGCCGACGGCCTGGTAAGCGCGAGGGCTCCTGGAATGCGCTTAGCACGGGAGGCCATGGAGGATTTGGAGCGAAATGGGAAAATCGATATTGACTCCGAGACTGGCATCGTCCATCTGCGTGAGAAGCCCAAAGGCTGCGGTTGGTACATTCCACCTCCAAAGAAGCCAAAAGTGGCGCGAGGACGCGGTCGAGGGGGTGCGCGTGGGCGTGGTAGAGCCTAAGCGCCCTAAAGCCTTGCGTATCCTCTTGGATCTCAAGATAATGCCGTCTGCAGCACCACCGCCTCCTGCACAAGCTGTCTTGGGGCATGGTGGACTGCCGGTTTTGGCAGCTGCTGTACATAGCCATTGTTTCCAAGGGATGCAGACATATGCCAGGGGTGCACGCATTTGTCCGAGAGGTTTTCAGATCAGGAGGAGAGCGGGCCAGAGACGAGACTGCATGCTGCTGTAGATTTGATGTGCTCTGCACGTTCGCACTATGTGCAGCATGGGCTTGCCTTAGGCCTTATAGGTACTCAACAACCCAGCTGTCCGTGTGGCACGACTCGTGCAGTCATGTGCTGGCACTGTAGACTGAACATGGAAGCGGAAGACCCTCAAGCGAGTGTGTGCTACACGTAACTTCTGAGAACAGCAAAACCACAGCCTTATGAACTAGAAAGCGGGCCGTAAGCATGGCGCTTGCTTTGCCGGTGCAGTGGCCGCGACTTGGGCACGTGGGCCACTTGGGGTCTGGGCGGCGGCACCACGTGGCCCGGCAATGTAGCAACCAGAGCTGGAGGGTCCAAGCGGCCACTCTGGGCGGAACCCTGGTCTCGCTCCTGAAGGCGCTGAGGCAGGCGGGTGTGGCAGAGCGCAAGAGGAGGCTCCGAGAGGCCACGACTGCGCAGCTGCGGATCATCAGCGCAGGGCTCCGCCTCCGGGTGGCTCCGGTGGGCGAGGGCTCACGCGCAGCTCTGATGGCCAGGATCGAAGAAGCTTTGGCCCTAGATGCCCGGCTAGCTGCCCCCGACCAGCCGATTGGCCGCATTCTCCGAAGCTTCCCGACGGACAAGACCGACCAGTTCGAACAGCTGATGATCGAGCGGCTAAGCTGTGCAAAGCTGAAGGGTCGGCCCACCACACTTAGCACTTGCTTCAAATCGCCTGCTGTGCCCAGATCCACTCATCTCCACTCTGCCGCGCTGGCATGCCAGGCCTCTGCCGGCCTTTGCGCCTCAGCACCGCCGGCAGGAAGGCTGGGCCGGCTGGGCAAGTGTTGGCTGCGGCGCACTGCAGTTCATACGGTTCTAGCCGTGACCTGCAGTCAGGCAGAGCTTGCGAACCAGATCATCGCGGAGCTCATGGAGCGACATCCGCCAGGCACGATGGAATCTGCAAACAACGGTCTTGTGCCCTGTACTGCTGGAGGCTTTCAAGAGCCAGAGGTTGTGAAGATTCCGGCAACCATGCCAAGGGCAAAACCCGCACCTAGCGAGCCCAAAGTGCTTCAACCCTTCGACGCTGCTCCTCGGCCTCGAGGCACGCTTAAACCTACGACAAAAGAACAGAATGTGTCTGTGTGCCTTTGTTTGGATTTCGGCCCCATGCTTTCGCAGATGAGTCTCCCGACCGCTCCGAGCCCGAGGAGGCAGAGGACATGTTGCACATTCGGCCAACCCCTGACCTCAGTCCTGAGGATGTCGAGGATGGGGTGCTGATACCAACAGTGGCTGTCCGAGATCCCGAGCCATTCGCACATCTGTCTGCGAGCAGCTTAGGCATGAAAGAAAGAGTTTCTTGATGTCAGGTTCTCGTCAGCGAGGAGGAGAGAAGACAATGCCAGCAAGCGGAGCGACGACAGCGGAGAAGGCTGCACCGATGGATGAACTACGGCCAGCATCACTGTGCGGTTTCCCGGAAGGAACCGATTCGCAGAAATTCTGGCCGAGGACTTCTCGACATGTCTCGGAAGCGTTTGCTCTGCCGCTGTGGGGAAATCATCAATGGCTCAGGAGCTGTCTTGCGTCATGCATCCCCAGCAGGGCGCGACTTGCTGAACTCTTCTGAGAGGGTCAGCCATGGCATGGCCTGGCTTAACGGTTTCACGGTTCCTGCATGGGACGGCCATACTGGTGCCAGGATGGGTTCTAGCCAGTTACAGCTGAATGCGGTTAAGGCTTGCCCTTTAGGCTGGACAAGACAAGGAGGTGCTTATTAGATTGCCAGAGATTCAGCTTGACCCACGTCCACGTGCTCCAGAAGCCCGAATTATCCCGATGGATGATCCTAGCGACGACAGTGCTGCGTGGAGCATGAATCAGTGAATCTAAGTCGACGAGCCGCCGTTTGCCACACAGCAATACGTACACGGCGCCACGAGCACTTCCGTCATCCGTTTCACAGCATATTGCGGCAATCGTGTCCAACCAAAGACAGGGCGCTGTTGAAGCGTTGGCTTCATCATCTGCAACCCTTGCTCTGGGTCTGAAAGGCATGTTGACATCGGAGCTAGCCTTCTACTGGCCCAGACGTGAGCAAGATTGAAGCAAGTAGCCTCAACGCATTTTAGCTCGTCTTCTCAACACACATTACCTCAAGCTGCGTACAGCCACCTGCTGCTTGAACTGCCAATTTGAGCCATGGCATTGAACATGGACCGACAGGCTGCGACCAATGTTGTCCTAGCTTGTAGATGGAGTCCGTGCGGCAGGTGCATAAGAGAATACTGTTTTACAACTGGGCTATTGTCATCTAGAAATCTCCTCACGCCCTCCGTCTTTCGTGCACATGTTGATTTTCTCCTGAGGGTGCCCTTCCCTCCTCCTCTCCCGTGTCTCTCGAGCCACAGTCGCGCATGAATCGCGAGGGGAGAAACGGGGGTGGATTCGGGTCCACTGGCTCAACTTCTGCAACATCTTCCATCAAGCAGGCAGCCGAGTATTTACTCTTCTTCGCGTTTCTTGCTCTGACTCGACGAGAAGCTGAGGCGAATTCAGCGCGAGCTGAAGGAGATCAGTGAGTCGCCTTCGCGGCACTGGACCCGATCCGAACTGCTCCGATGGGCGGGGAGGCACATGACGACACCGAACTGCTGCAGGATCGCTGGGCCAGCGAAAGATGACCTGTTCGAGTGGCTGGTCTCTCTCTCAGTCTCTCAGTGCTGCTTCCTCGGCGCCCGGAAGAGGCTTTTGCCGCACCCGCTACTCAGTTTGCTGTTCGTGGGCCCCCCTCAACCGACTTCGAAGGAGGCTCGGTCGTCCTGTGCTTGAAAAAATATCCCCCCAATCTTTTCATGAAGAGGCATCTACACCGGCAAGATCGTGTTGCCAGCCGCGTACTTGAATTCATGTTCGCCACGTTTCCCATGCTCTGGTGAAGTCCGTGGTCCGTTCGAGGTGAACTACCCGCTGGCACCTCCATCCATTACCATGCTTACACCAAGTGGCCGTTGGGAGGCAGGCCCGTTTGATGTGCAAGTTTCTCCAACTTGGTCAGCTCCAGTCTGAGGTCGGGAAAAAGATCTGCTTGAGCAACACCAGCTACTCAACTGCACACAGCAACGGCCCATAGAAGATTAAGAGCCAGATTGCACATCTTTTCTTCCAGGCAACCCTGGCCTAGAACATGTCTATTGCTGTTGCATTGCTCTACGCCCTCGCTGGTATTCGTGATCATTGCTTGATGCTCTTGCGGTCCCACGCCGCTGCATGTCGCCTCAGATTATCACGCAGAGCTCTGGCAGCCAGCTTGGGGGATCCGGACCATCATGGAGGCTGCTAAATGCTAGAAGTCGGTTTGCCAGCATTTTAACGAGACTCGTCTTGAGGCCCTGCGCAGCCACTTCCCCGTGGCTGGAGACGGGGCGGTCGGTGCTCGCCTCACACTTCTGCAGCAGCTGAAGTAGGCCGGGGGATTGAAGCAGCTTCCCTTCAGGCGCGCTTGACTGGCCAAGCCACCTTCGCAAGCGGCTGGCGAAGGCACAGTCTGAGTCTGGTGTAAACGCGGTTGCGCAGTGGACTGCTCTGCGAAGGAGTCCTTGGACTTTATCACCTTGCCCGGGTCAGCTGGCCAGTGGGCACAGAAGTCCGTAACTTACCTCATGCGCGACTGTAAGCAGCTGCGATGACCCCGCATGAGAGGCGCTCTGGTATCAGAGCACGCAACTGCTCATTGCTAACTGACAGGAATCGGGAGCTACTGCCGGAACTCTCGCCAGAGGAGTTGAAGGAGGATCCTCAATTGCTCAGAGTTGGGCACTGTTCTACCGCCGAAAGTTGTTTATTGTCGCATGTGGGCTCAGCTGCCTTAAACTGCGCATTATATTCATCAACAACAGGGCAGGTCGCATGAAACTATTGCTGCATGGCTCAAGCTATCAAAGTCAAAAATGCTTGCGAGAAAGCAGACGTTGCTTCTCAGCTTCATGGGCAGGAGACTTTCCGCGTTGAGTCCTGCATTCTGCGGTAAAGTCGAGGTTTGAGTGTGGTCCCGGAGCCGTACATGCGAAATTTGTGCTTATGCGGCCAAGCTGGATTATGCTCCGGGCAGCTGAGAGCTGCGAGGTGTCAAAGCAGACTTGTTTATTCTTCCCTCCAAGGCATGCTTGCGCAGCTCGTGGTAGGAGACAGCCTCAGAGGGCATGGAGTGGCCTGTAGTGACTTCAGACTCGAGCACGTGATATCCAGCCGGCAACAGGATCCAATCAAACTTTCCCACAGTCGGACTCGCAGGCTCGTCCTCTTCGCTAGCTGCTTGTGGCTCTGAATCAAGTTGCTGGTGTAAATCGTGCAAAGGTGAGGAGCGGACGCGTGGACTGCGCAACTCGCAAAGAAATCTAACCGCTCGCTGCAACCCTTTGACTGTGTTGTGCCATGTCGTGGCACAGAGCGCACGGTCGTATCATTCCGCCACAGAGGAGAGGAAGAGGAGGTTGATGCTACTGACGGTGATGGTGGTGGCGAAGGTCTGGGTGGATGTCAGAGGGGGAGAGCTGCCCCTGTAAGAACCACAAGTGAGAGGCCTGAGGGGGACAAATACCTCTGCATATGTATGCGTTAGCGTTGGGGCAGAGCCGTGCTGGAAGTTAGGCGACCATGAAATCCACGATACCGTCGAAACAATCCTTGACTCTTTTCAAGTTGTACGGCGAACATCAGGGCAAAGCAGTCAGTGCTTCTGACCGGCCAATAATTCAAGGGAAGGGCTGTAAATTGGATTTTGAGACAGGGTGCTTGAGTTAGACGACCAAAGTAATTACGCCAAAATACCCCAGTCAACGCACTTGGGGGCATGCATGTTTTTGTCTCTACGTTGATTGGGAGGGCCAAACCAAGCCCGCCCCTCAGGCTAGGAGTCAGAGAGAAGAAATCCACTTGTAGGAGGTTTGAGCCTTAGTCCTCGGGGCGGCTGGGAGGACTAGTGTTCGGGTGTTGTAGGGGGGGGGGTGCGGTGATTCCCCAATGCGAGAAATCGTGCGGGGGTCAGCGCACGCGGGCCCTCCTGGCTGTGCTGAAAAGAGAGAGAGAGAGAGAGAGAGAGAGAGAGTGAGAGAGAGAGAGAGAGAGAAAAAGAAAGAGAGAGAGAGAGAGAGAGTTAAGCCCTGCAGAAAGAAAGAAAAGAGAGAGAGAGAGAGAGATAAAGAAGAGAACCCCGAGCAAAGCAAAGATAAAGAAGAGAGAGAGATAGAAGAAAGAGGGGCGGCCCCCCTCTGGCTTGCAGCAAGCAAGCAAGAGAAGAAACTGCGACTTTCACAATCCCTTTAAAGCCGCACTACAAGAGTTGGGCCCTGCTGGCCGGGGAATTTCGCACATCCCTCCATGTCCTGCATGTGGATCGAAGTTAAGAACAAGGATAAGAATAATAAAGATAACAAGCAGAATCGGAAGAATAGTCATAAGAATGAGAATAGGGTGATGATGCAAATGATGATAATGGTGGTGGTGCTGGTGGTGATGATGTTGAGGATTATGGTGATGTTATCCTGACGCTGAACTGAAGGTTGCCGGTGAGGAGGCTGACCGAGTGTGACCACAGGGGGGATGATAGATGGAGGAGAACTGGAAAATGGGAGGCATGCCATGGCGCAGAGCTTGTAGGAGAATTTGTTCAATCCGTAAGACCCGATGGGGGGCGAGGGTATCGGACTCATGTGACACTCATGGGAGTTCAAGCTCGCCCACCAACGTGGCATCAGTATGCATTGCCCCACTGTATCCATCGGGTGTGCCTGTTGTCGAACAGTGAATGGTGATATTCGTCGCGTAGTTGTGTCGTCTGCGACGAGACCACGTGAATTGGGCAACGCCTATCTCAGGCAAGAGAATGCCGCAAAGAGAACGAGGATCAGCCGTGTCTTTGGGATGACCAGTGTCCAGGGCTAGGCTCGGCAATTGCACCGACTGCCTTTGTGATTCGGTGGTAGTGTGGGAGTACAAGGCTGCAACAGCCTCTGTCTGCCAGGCTGCAGTGCTCTTGGAGTGGCGTCACTTATCAGAGCAATTCAGAGCATTCTACCGATTCAGGACATGGCCACAGCAAGAATCTGACGACACTTCCTTCCTGATAAGGAATTGCCGATACTGTGGGTTCGGAGAATATGCGCCTTGCCCTCTTCACCATGGTTCCAGCCGGCCACGACCACCTCCCATTTCTTCCTGTAGTCCGCTGGGTACTTATACCTGTAGTGGCTTGGCTCTCATCTTAGCTTGCTTCTGGTTGCATGAAGGGCGATAACTGAGAGCTTTTCCGGTCGGCTACAGTACGGCAAGCCATGGTGCCATAGTGGTTATCGAGCACGTGCATGTGCAGGCAGAACGTGCTTCAACGTGGATGCAGGCGCGGGTGCTTTCGTCGGTTGCATGGGCAATACCTTCAAACTATCGTGGTGTGCAAGGAGCGGAAACCAATGTCATCACAATGCAACACGGAACACCCTACTTCGAGCCACTCGCTGTCATAGACTGAAGGTGTGCGGCTCGCGCCTAAGCCCGCTGTTGTTGATCTGCTTAGGTCTAGGACCGACCCCAACGTGCTGGTCACTGCTCGTCCCAATGACAGGGCTTGCACAGCTCTTCACACACCCAAGGAATCGTGTCACAGCTGGAAACGGCTTCGAGGAAACGCAACAATGCTCCCAAGTCCAGGGCATTGGCGGCACGAACATGTACTCCTGTGTGACCAATTGGCGGCGTGAGCACACCCTGAAGATGCTTGGCCGCAACTGGGCAGTTTGCTGGGAGAAGCTGTTGGCCGAAGTGCAGTGGCGCCTGCACAGCAAAGGATCGCCCGCTTCTTGCAACAGATCACCTTCAATGCCGACTGTACATTCTTTGTGAAAAAAGTATGGCGAATGTCGCCACAGCCTGTCTCCACATGCACTGTAAGGTGCACCAAGCGCTGATGCAGCGCTTTAGAAAAGAGTGAATAGTGAATTGGTGTAGATTGCAGCATGCTTTTGAAGGGCCTTCTGTCGATCCGTGGCTCCTTGCGGATTTGGCGGCAAGGCCTGGCACCTTTTTTGGGCCCTGCATGCCCCCAATTCGGAGATTGTTTTAGATAGTGTCAGCGACTCCAAAGACCGAGACCAATACTTTGACCTTTCCTTGGCTTAGAGCCGGTGCCCAGTGGGTCCCCGAGGGCGCAGTTAGAAAGCCCAGAGGGGTCTCCGAGCTCTTCCACGCATTTTGAGAGTCCGGGATAGGTCGCTTCGTGGCCTTCAGGAGATTCTCAGAGTCTGGGAGCGCTGATTCGCCTTGACGTCAGGGACAGCGCAGAAGGCAGAAGGCGGAGCCAGACGACGATCTTTTCGTGTTCAGGGTACTGCATGACATGGCATGGCAGTATACTGGAGATTTGATTGCGAAATGGGCATCATTACAGCACCGCTGACCGTACGATCTAGAATGCTGTCTGCACTTCTGCACTGTCGGATGCCACCGCCATCACTTGGCAGCGGAACTGCTCGCGCGCTGTGTGGCCGGTGGGGTTTTGGGACTCAAAGTATGGTCCCGCCCTGGCAATTTTATCCACAAAAGCTACAAAGAGCTCATTGGACTAGATGTTGTAGCCTGAATCTGTGTTCTGTACAGGTGCATGCAAAGATGAGAAGCCATTGCATCAGGGGTGCTGGTGTCGAAGTCGCCAGCAAAAGGGCAGCAGAGCCGAGCATGCACATGCATCATTTGTGTTTGGCTCCAGACGAAGCACCTTCTTTTCTCTGGTGCAGGAGCTTCCAGAAAGGCCCTCGGAGGCGCAGAGACAGAGAGGATGGGGGCGTCTGTGCGGAGGAGAGCCGAGAGCCTTGCGAGCCTTGCGAGGTTGAACGCAGCGAGACCGCGGATCCGGCACCGGAGACTGGGACCAGCACGACCGCGGAGACCAACACGCAGGCAACGCAGGCTGGGCCCATCGGCCGATTCGAGAAGCCGAAGACAAAGCCGAAGGCGCCGCTCAGCGGCTCGTTGCCAGAGGCTCCAGGCCCGTTACAGTCTCAGTTGACTGCATGTTCCTTCGGCCTGCATCTGAGACGCTGTGCCATCTCCACCTCCAGCACCAGCAGCAGGAGAATTGTGCAGTCCATCCCAGTGACGGGCGTACTTATGCCAGTTTAAATCAGAGTGTTCTCTGCTAGGAGCACCGAAGGCGGCACCTCGCAGACGTCGTGAAGGCTCGGTACATCCGGTAAACTCGTGAGTATTCTGCGGGCGTTGGGAGGAGAGCGACCACGACGGAGCCAGCAGAGCCTCGTCGTCCAGCTGCTGAAGCCTCCTGCAACAGGGTCCAGATGCGGACTTATCACAGTGGCAGAGCATTACAGAGTTCTCCTGGACTTGCAGGCGAGGCTGGCTTCTAATGTCCCTGAATTTTCTCATCGTCCTCGTGCTTGCGCTGCCGGCGACATTTTTATTTGCATGCTGACCTACCCGCATCGCAAATCCAGTGCTGCCACCATGGAAGTCAGGTTTCCTTCTGCATCGTCTTGGCCGATGTGATCAGGAGTGGCAACCAGCAGGGGCAGCGTGGCATCCTGTATGATGGTCCAGCGGGTTTTCGCCAGGCAACCTCCGAGTCTCCTGAATCCAGCACCGGACCAGAAGGTGCTGACGACCCGGTTTGTAAACTGGGAGGTAGGCGCAAGTCCTGCAAAGGACGACGTGATTATTCAGGCTCACGGCGTGCATCGTGCAAGAGTTGTAGCGGAAAGAGACCAGCCAACACGGTCGGCGTTGCACCTGTGAGAGCAAACATATGGCTTCGGTGCCCATGCCAGGTCCAAAACCAGAAGCCCTGAGTGTCTGGACCCCAGTCGAAAACGAGGCCGACGGTCTGGCAAGGTTAAATATCCACGGTCCTGACACATGTTGATCGTTTTCTCTTCATAGTGAGGGCCAGCCATGCCGAACTCAGACTCAGTAGCTGCCATGCTTCCTCGAATTTCCTGAGGATGGCGATGGCCAGTAACAGCTCTATGCTGCGCGTCATGCTGTGAAAGCAATGCAGTAGAGACTGTAAGGCAGAGCAAGTGCCGTGCAGTGGGCCAAATGGCCCCTCCGTCGATGTGCACTTACAGCACCATTTCGAGTGTCAACCCTCCTCGGTCGAAAGCCTTCGGTCTTGGGGTTTAGGACAGGCGCCAAAACCGCTCAGGGTGCCTGTGCTCTTGTCCGCTCATGTAGCAATGTAGCACAGACCTGGCAAGTGCAGATTGCATCGCCTCACTCAAGAAAGAAGACAGCGCCCGTGGCCAATTTCCCAGTCAAACAGCATATTCGATACATTTGTTATCGCTTCTGTTACTGCTAGTATCCGGTTAGCATCGATTCATGTCTGTTCTCAGGTTGCCCCATGCTCTAGCCACATATCAGGCAGTATTAAGGTAATTTTCATGACAACTCAACATTTCTTAAATACTGGCATAGCTAATCGGCGCAGCAATAAAGGGAGACAGATACGAATTCACGACATGGCTGTTAAGTACTAGTTCGTTTGTGGATAGCGACTGCCTTTTAAATGGGGAGGAGATAGCAGAAACACGTAATTTTCACACCAAGTAGTCATGAGCGACTAAGTAATGACATGCCATATTTGCATAACATTGTTGGCATGTTAGTTACCGTACTCGTGAAATCTGTATAAGAGGAAATAGCCCGGTGGTAGATGCCAAGCAAATACTGTGTTAGCTAAAAGCTGGCGGACACATGCTGCCCTGCCGTGGCATTTAGTATTGACAAGAACCAATGAGCGATCTTTGGATATCATGTATGTCCGAAGTATGTAGTAAAGTAGCGAGTCTTGCATGAATTCTTACAGATTGGTTGCATAAAGTTGTTTTGTACCCTCCCTCTCCCAAGATTCTCGGTGGAGGTTCTTCGCCTGTCGTCTGCGTGTCACCGGCATATCTGCATTGACAGTCATCTTGCATTCCCCTAATCCTGACTGCTCTTTACCGTTGGGGCTTTTGGGGGTTTCATGGGGTCTATAGGTTGAGATTGTGACTTTCGGGATTTCGGCATGAAGCTTGCCGAACACCCCTGCTGTTAGCAACCCCGCTGCGATCATTAGGTACCCGCACGGACCCATCCCTGCTCACAGTCCGCGGTGGCAAAGAACTCTGCAATTGGGAGATTGGTATGAAACCCCGACTGTCCCTCGCTCCAACTGAGACGATGGAACTTGCGCCTGAGCCTTCAGGAAGTTCAGAACCCCCTGAACACCATTTCCCAGTCACCCGTCTTGCAGGTGTTGCTGCTTTCTGCATGTTCTGTGAACTCCCTGCTGTGAACAGCATTTTGTGGCTTAAGACGACACTGCCTACTTGCGGTTTCAGACACAGCCGTACGCAGATGTCCGGCAAACCGGATGCGATTGAAGTCGAGGCAGGTGAGGTCGACATGATGGAACGTGCAGATTCGAAGAGCCCGGGCATGTCCCTGCCCGGAACCATTGCCACCCTGTCGAATGTGCTTGTAGGCGGCAGCAGCGTTCTGCTGCCATATGCATTCCAGCTCTCGGGATGGTGCTTCGGACCGCTGGTTCTTGCTGTGGGCTCTCTAATGGGCTTCACATTGTGGATCATGGGCTTCCTGCTTGAGTCGCTTGATGAACGCGCAGAGCAGATGGGCATACCCCGGTCGCAGCGCGACTGGGGTCTGATCGGCTACGCAGCTTTTGGGAATGTTGGCCGCGTGGCCTTTGCCGGCTGCATGTTCGTTGATCTGATTGGATCTGCCCTGTTCTTGTTGAGCGTTGCCATCGAACAGCTCCCTTTCCTCCTACCTCTCAAACACGAGTTGGTCGCTGTGCTTTGCTGTCTCGTGGCCTTCGGCTGCTGCCTTATCCCAAAAAGGTTTTTCTCAGCAATGGCTGCGTTAGGGATTGCGTCTCAGGTCATTCTAGTTGTGGGCATTCTTGCCACAGGTACCGAGCTGTCCTTCACGACTGGAGCTGCATCAGACCAACTACTGTTCAAAGCAGCAGGCATTCCACCCGCTGTTGGCATTGCTCTTCTCTGCTTCCTCGCTCACAGCGAGGCACCTCTTATTTACCAGATGATGGCAGACCGGACAAAGTGGACCAAGGCAGTGATCTACAGCATGAGCGTTGCTGAGACTTTTCTCTTACTCTTCGGTGGATTGGGATACGTGTTTTTCGGTGGCAGTGTTGGGCAGTCCATTGCTGTGAACATCGGCCGGGACTTGGACCTTCAGCTGCTTCCAGGAAGCTGGCACATCTGCCTAGGTGCTATCACAATCGTGGGCCTAAGCACAAAACAGCTGATGACTCTGCCTCTTGTGCTGGACGCCACTGGTGATCTGTTCGGAGAGATGCTTCAGTGGAAAGGTCGCATCCTCATGAAAGCCATCGTCTTGGCCATTTCTGGTGTAACTGCGGTACTCTTGAAGGATGGAGTGGCTTTCATTGGGGATTTGGTGGGAATCCTGCCTGCCAACGCCGTGTGCCTCATTTTCCCTTGTGCCGCTATGTTGCAGATTCGGGGCCATGAGATGTGCTTGTGGCAACGACTGGGTGTGCGTGTTGTGGCAGTTGTTTCCACTTTGTACAGTGTGCTTGGATCCGCGTATATTATTCTGCAGCAAGTGGGTGCTTTGTAAACAGCACGAGACGATGTACAGCAATTCAATCAATTTTGACATAAATTTTGCGACCCATTCAGCTCCCTTCCTTAAAGCAGGACGCGAATGGAGATTTTTGCGGTCACCGCACCCCATTCAGCTACCTTCAAACAGGACGTGAATGGCGCGGGTGGTGTCCTGGACCCCATTGCTGAGAAAATGTCTCACTTGTACAGAAGCCTCTCACCGGAGAACGAGTCCGGGAAACAGGGTACGCATGTTCCGATCGGCTGTAGCTTGTCTCGGCAGTGCTGGCGCTCAATGTCGCGGGGGAATATGGGCTATGCCTGACGATGGAGTCAGGCAAACTTGTTCGTCTATGCGATCCATGTTCAGCTGGCTCATTCCCAAGAGTCCTTGCATGCTGAACGACGAGACTTTCAGACACTCGTTCCCCAAAGCCTCACTCTGGGAGCCGGCACCGAACCTAAACCATCCCGCAAGCAAAAGGACCGCAACCCATGCAGTCTGAATGGAACGCGGCATGGATCCGGCAGAGGGCGCCAGAGCTCTGCGATACTGGCGGTCAGCATCTTTATGCCCCTGGCAGATGCCTACGCTGCTTGTCAACTTGTCTTGTGGGTCGTGAGATGACTCTGACCTTCCAAGTTCTCAGCGAGACCCGCGAAGCCAAGGAAACTTTGGGGTTGCCGCGCTCCTGCAGCGACGAAGAGGTCAAGCAGGCGTACAGAGCTTTGGCCCTCAAGATCCCCAACTGCACGCAGCACCTGACAGCAGGGCGATGTGCCAGGCTGTGCTGCATGTACGTGTACGTGCGGTTGGATTCCTAAGGAACCATCCTGACAAGGTATCTTGGTTTTTGAATCCGTCTCCCTGCAGCTAGGAGTCGCCGGATCACTGAATGTAGCTGGCTTTCCGTCGCTGCAGGTGCAGGATGAGACGAAAAGGCGCTTGGCAACCACCCGCTTCCAGGCCCAGATGCAGAAGGCCTCTGCTGAAGCCGGGCGTGAACACGAGCTCCAGTAGCCTCAGCAGGAGATTCAGGCTGCCTACGAGACCATCATCGACACTAGGACCAGGACAGTGACAGTGGTTGCCCTCAGCCATTGCTTCCTTTGTCTGTGAGTCAGCCCACGTTTTCAGGACCGTCTCTTTAGCAGCGGGTGACTTAGAAGCAGAAGCTCCTTTTGCAGGCTTCATTCGACTCTGGCTGAGGCTGTTGCCCCTGCCAGTCGCACTCCACTCATGGCTGCTTGCGAGCGCTGGGACCCCAGAAGTCCAGGTTGTCCCTGTCAAAAACACACTGAGTGAAAGGAGGCGATCTGGAGTCAGCCAGCAGCCTTCTGGCTGCTGCTGCAGACCTCATGGCACGGGATGCCACAGGGCGCTCCGCCATTCTCTTCGCCGCCTCGGCAGCCAATCTTCAGGCACGACCTTGTGCTACCAGCCTGTGCCGTAAGGACCTTCATCGTGACAGGTTCTCACGCTGCTGTTGGAGCATGCCGCTGATGTGAACAGCTCCAACTGCGCGGGCCACACATGCGCCGATGCCTCAGAGGTTTCTGACGAGAGCGGCCTTCTTCTTCGCTCGCGGCTCTGCGTGATCAGTGCCTTCGAGGTGATGTATGCAGTCGGGGCTGGCATGCAGGTCGACACCTTCAAAGTGCTCATGCCGGTCACTGTCGTTGTCCAGCTTCTATGGACGAATCAAGGACATCTCCAAAGCTGCACAGCGGCTGGATGTTGTGCGGCTGCTTCTGGATGAAGGTCCGCTCTTCGAGGTGTCCATGGTGGGCATAGTAGCCTTGTCGCCACTGAAAAAACTTTCCTACTAGTCCTGGACATAGGTGCTTCTGCCAACGGCGCCACTGGATACGGCCTGTCTGCACTGATGCTGGCATCAGCTTCAGGACAGCAAGATTTGCAAGCTTGTGCATCGTCGCCGCGGGTTTGCGGTCGGGGTCGCGCTGGGGTGGGCTAGGCTCAGGGCCAGCACAAGCCACAAATGCTAAATCGTCTTCGACGTCACAGTGCTTTGAGTGTGCAGCTTTGCCTGGCTGCCAGTCAGTGTCTAGTGTGTTGGTTTCGCTTCTGTCTTGATTTGCCCTGTATGGGCTGCCGGATAGTTTTGCCATGCGACATTATCGAGAGCTGTCGGCAGGTGAGCCTGAATGTGTGTGCAAGAGTGCACTTCCAATGTGGGTGTTGATCCCCGGCACCAAGCCATTGCGCGGCATGTTTTGCATCCAAGCGCCGCCTGCAGTCACATCTCATGCTAGGTCTGCTAGGTTTGTGCGAGGTCGGGTTTTCACATCGAAGGTGTGGATATCAGTTGCCGCATGAGCGAACGCCCTCAGGACGCGTCGAGATGCTTGAGCTGCTGGTCCAGCGAGCTGCCGAAATCAATGCTGCAACGGACATGCAGTTGCACGCAGCACACGGGGCTGATGTTGTCAAGCTGATTTTTCCTGTGAGTCGCTACCCAGCAAAGTGACTGCAAAAGGGTTGGTGCTTTCCTGCTTTCCTTGCAGGACATCGGTTTGACAGCTTTGACCATGGCGGCTGACAAAGGCAATGATATACTCACACCTAAAGAGGTTACGGCGGTATTACATGAACGATGCTGCATCTGAGCCGCAAGGCCTTTTCCCATCTTTTCCGTTCTCTGCCCTCTGATTCTCTTCTGTGAATTTGCATGTATTTGCTACCGAGCTTCAAAGCGTCCCGCGTCCCGCGCGCCTCCGCGGCAAAGAAACCCTATACCCCCAAGAGCTGCGCAGTTTCTGCTGGCGCCCCACCGAATATGTGGCGATCGACCACGACGCATGATGATGGCAACCTGTCGCGAAAGCTAGCTCCGAGCATGCGGGATTGAGAGGCAGGAAGGAGGGGCCCCACTCCCTCTGCGAGCGAGAAGGTGGTTGCGTATGGGCTCATATTGGCTTCTCCTCCCCTTGAGACCTCTCGTGTAGAGTGACTTCAACGTAATTGGGCAAGCATCTGCCCACTTACTGAATTTGCTGACAAGTTACATTTCTGCCGAAACCTGCTGTTGCACATGCAGTTGCGTGTTGCGACTGTTGCCGCGTCCCGTTTAGGGCTGTGTGGTGTTGATTGGCATTTTCACGCCGGCACATGTATCACAGACAGCGGGTTGCCTCGACGACTCTGAGCACATCACTGACAGTATGACCCTGAAAAGCTGGTTGGCATGTGCCAGCCCGAAAATGCCAGTTCGCCCAGAATGTTTAAGAACTGATCATGCCAAGCATCTTTCTCGCTCCAGTGATTCTCAGTGCCGTGCTGCAATAGATTCGCTTGACGAGTCGCCCCACCCACCCTTTCTCTGCTGCGCTTCCTTCCCCTGGCATTCCCTCTTCTCATGCGTCCTTTGCACAGGGCATGCCGATGCAGTCAAGTTTCTGTTGCGAAGCACTGCAAGCGCTGACCACCGGTACTCGCACCATGTTCGCAAGAAGTGTGTCTCCAGTTCGGTACGGATTTCCAACACGCAGAGGGCTGGCAGATGACAGCCCTAAGGAATGACAAGACGGCCCTCATGGGAGCTGCTGCTTTGGCGTATCTTCGTCCGAAAGAAGGGGGGGTGTCAGTGAAGACCGTATGTACCTTGAGTTTATCTTGCACCAGTGAGCACATTCGAAGGCACACAGCCGTCGTCCTCGCGCTACTTGAGGGCCGGGCTGAAGTCAACGCGCGGTCTGGCGACGGGCAGTCTCCGCTTCTGTAGCCTGGTATTAAGCTGAACGGCAACGGCTTGCTGCAGTACTGCACCCCCCAGCTGGCCCCACCTGTTTGGGACGAGGTACGCTGTCGAGTCTGGGCTGAAGGACCGACCCCGAGCGTCTCCTATCAGCTGTGAGCTAAGATAGCTGATAGCTAAGACAGCTAAGATCTACCAGTCTACCAGAAGCCTTCTGCCCCCAGCTTGACGCCCGCTGCTACGAGGACGGCCTGGTTTGTCCCGTGCCGGGTGAGGTCCACAAGCCAGGGGCGGAGGCCCAGAAAGGAGACGACAAGGATGTTCAGCAAACGGGCTGTCCAACCCCACGCCGTGCTTTGTTTTAGAAAGGTGTGAGCGTGAGTGTGGCATTGTCATGTCAGGCCACCACAAAGGCGCTGCTGCTCGCAGACCCTTTGTGGCAAATGTATCGAGCAAGCAGCGCTACATTCGTAGATCTAGCATAGTTAAAGTGGGCTAGCGAGGCAAGCAGTGCTGCAGTTGATCGGACACTGATAGGATTCGGCGATAGGCAGGATAGGATGACGAGCCCAAGGCTGCGGATCCAGACATCGCTGGCCCGAGGCCACTGAAATCCAGTGAGTAGCTTTGCGGCTTTGCGCAGCGTGCGCAGCAACACTAAGCACGCTGAAAGATGCCACAAGCTTCCTCTTTGTGGTACAAGGTTACGGTACTGCGTGACAGTGCAGGCATCGGACTGCTTTGCACATCAGCGTGGCCTGTGGCAGCGTAAAGCTCGCATCCCTGCTCCTGTCGGCGCGAGCTTCCTTGGATGCTGTGGACGAGGACACGATGCAGGGAAGGCGCAGCCGCATCCACACTGGGCTTTCGAGCGTCTGAAAGGACGGTCAATCTGCAATGGACATCGCCCAGCCCGGATTCTTCGAGGCTGTGCAAGCTGCATCCCCAGTCACAGGCGCCATGCAGTGGTTTTCGAAGGCTTGCAGAACTGACAACAACTTGACTCAACTCTTTTCTCACAGCGGGTTTAGGTTTAGACGGTTCGTTGAATTTTGTAAATTGAAATCACGTTGCCGTGGCCAGTGCCGGATCGCTCATTTGAAGTCTCGATGTAACAACAGAAGTTATACTTAGTCTTCTGCCGCAGGCAAGCACTGGTTGCAAGGGACTTACACTTTCCTTACGCTGCTCTGCCAAGTTCTTTTGGACACTCTCGTTGACCAAGGAAAAGGCTAGGCGAGATCTGCCAGGCTGGCCGCTGCAGCACAACATCGCCGGAAGCGACAGAACTCTCTGCCAGGTTTGTGCTGGAGCATCGTGCTTGGGCTGAGCAGAAAATGCTCGTACTTCATGCAGAATCCTAGTCGGTTCAGGTCCCATATATGACTTTGCTTGTAGCAGGAAGAAACTCTCTCCAGATGTGCCGCCAGCAAGCAAGGTGAAGTTTCGAACAGCCTTCTTTGCTCGTCGCGCAAAGAAGCCGTCTCCTGCCCAGTTAGGTGATCGTTTGCTAAAACTTCGTCCGATCATCCGGTCGACCCCATTTCGTGATGGCTCCTTCGTACCTTGCCAGTCTTGGCCTGGCATGCACCATGGCCCTGACATATGCGAAGCGCAGCAACCACCAGTCACAACAGTTAGAGCAGCCACCCGGCTTCGGCGGATTTGGTGACTTCGGAGCAGGTAACTTCCCAAATATGCCCGGCGGGCTTGGCGATTTTGGCGGCGGGGGCATGCCTGGAGCCCAAAAGGACGACAAAAAGGGCGGCTTTCCGGGCATGGGTGACTTTGGCGACTTTGGTGGGGGTGGCTTGCCCGGCTTTCCCAAGCCCGGTGGCCAGTCCCAGGCTGGCGGCGGCGGTGGCCCCTTCCCTGGAGTTGACATGGGTGGCATGATGGACATGATGGGTGGCATGATGGCGGATGCTTTGAACTGCGGACAGAAGGAGCTGGAAGTGGCTTGCAAAGACCCATCTTTTCAGAAAAAGACTTTTGTGCCGCTGTGGTACTGCCTCATTGCCACTGGTGACCGAGACTTTGGCCCCATCCCACCGTGCGACTCCCCCATCAAGATCGGCGATGCCTCAAAGTGTAAGAAGAGCGACGAGGACATGCGCAAAGAGATGGAAACGGCCAAGTCCATGTGCTTTGGAAGGCTGAAAGAGCTCTACGACTTGCAGGCGCAGTTGGGTCAATGTGCCGTAGGCATCAAGCAGGAGACGGAGAAGGTGGAGAGCGAGCGCCAGGCTTTGCAGAGCATTCAGCATGAGGCAGAGGAGTGTGAGAAGACGAAAGCCAAGAAGAAGGCCGAGGAGTCCATGGGTTCTTCCTTCTCCTCCGGGCAGGGGCAGGGCCAGTTCTGTCCCGCGCATGCAACGGAATTGAAGGATGCTTTCGCAAAGTACACTCTGGCCGTGGAGCAGTGCATCAGTGTTCAGGTCTCCGCCACTGTGCACATCCCTGAGATCGATATCGTGGTACCTGAGATCAAGGTCGGCCAAGTCCAGGGCACTTCCTTCAACATCCAGATGCCTGACTTCAATGCCCCGGACTTCACGGGCGATATTGTGGTGCCTGGCGGTGGAGGGAAGCTGAACGTGGCGGTGGAGCAGCACGGGCACGGGAAGCAAGGCCAATCCGAAGGGCAGCAAGAAGCAAAGCTGACCTTCGACCAGCGCGTTGCCAACATCAAGGTGGACATCAAGACGTGCGAAGAAGCGAAGCCAAAGATGCAGCAAAAAAGCAAGGAGGTCGCTGAATCGAAAAGCACCGTCCAGGAACAGAAGCAGAAGGCCCGACGAGTCTTGTCTTGTGCCAAAAAATTTCTTAGGGCCCAGGTAGGCAGCACCTTCCCGAGGCCTGCGATACGGCCGGCAGCTTGCTGCAGACCGGCGCCAGCCCTGAGGCCACTATCGCCATCCAGGCCCGCCTCATGGTCCCAGTCCTGCTGATAATCTGATGTCCCCCTTTGACAGGTCTTCAGCATGATGAAGATGACATGGGGCTGTCGCGAAGTTGCCACGGCCATCGATGGGCTCGTGGCGGTTTTGCAGTCTTGCTGAGCTCCGACTTGAAGACCTCAAGATCTCGGCTGTGCTTGATGGCCGTGAACAAAAAGTTCAAAAGCGCTGTCGTTGATGTCGAGTGCATAATACTTTCTCACGCCATTGCCTGGCACTTGCATTCCGCTGTGATTTCGCCCTTGGCTCCACCGAGTTTCCATGTTGGTTCATGTCGTTTTCGGTCGTCGTAGTAGCAAGTTCCAACTGATGCAGCCATTCTTCGGTTCTTTCGTGTTTGGTTGAGGTGTTCTTGGCCACACTTCCGGGGACGCACCTGTCGAGTGAACCTTGCAAGCTCAAGAGAGACGGGGTGGAGTCCAGATTCAAGACAGCTAAGAAAAGGTGATGGGTGTCCTCACGAGTCATCCACCGACTGTTTGCTTAGCTTCAATCGCTTCCCGGTCCCATAGCTGAGCCTCCAGGAAGCAGCAGAAGTATCCCGCTCCTAAATCTGTGTTGCGATATTCCGATGCCTTTCATGTCGAAGGGTTGTCACCAACGGGAGCCAACAACGGCGTTTGCCTCTGCGATGCGCCTGAGCGGCTCACGAAGTGCGCGGTGCAAGCCTGGTAGTGAAAACGGGGGCAGCGGAGCCTGCGTTTCGCAGCTCAGTCAATGCTCCTGCTGCATGCCAAATGCCAGCAAGCAAGTTGAAGTTTCAAACCCTCTCTGCATTTTGCTCGAAGAAGCCGTCTCCTGCCCAGTTAGGTGGTCGTTTGCTAAAACTTCGTCCGATCATCCGGTCGACCCCATTTCGTGATGGCTCTGATGTTGGTTAGGGCTGCTTTCGGTGACAACAGAGAAATGAGAGGGAGTAGGAGAAAGCATCTGGATCGGAACATCATTCATCAAAACCTGAGGCATCCTATCATCAGTATCCCCCGCCATCGCTTTCACCTCTAACCTCAATCCTCATTCACCTCTTAGCCCTGAATCCCTGAACGAACGCACCCTGAACACCCTGTACACCCTGAACCGGGGTAAAGGACGAGGGTACCGGGACAGGGGGGACAAGGGTACCAGGCAGGGGCAACCCAACCCCAAAAACCCCAAAACACCCAAAATCCCTCACAGTCTTTCTGCATCTCCGAACCTTGAGCCAACCATTGTTGGCATAGTTTATGGTTAACCTCAGTGATGACTCGTTCTGCGTGTCATCCTTGCGCAGGGGCTGATGCATCAGACGACATGTCCAAATGAGCAAGAGGGCTTCAAACATGCGTCTACAAACACTCCTCCTTGCTGGGAGTTGTCAAATCTTGATGCTCGCAGCACCCTCCAGGCACTGCGCACAGCTCCCCAAAAGCGCTCATGCACAGATTCTGCTGGACTATTCCTTCGGCAGAACCCCTAAGAAAAGATTAGCACCAGTGATCCCGAACCGTTTATGCAGGACAAAGGTCACTAGTGAAGTTCATGTATCCAGCATTGCTCCCATTAGCAATGCAAAGTGCGTCACGTTCGCTCAAGAAGTCCAGCCTTCTCTCTGAGAGTTTGCAGCCGAACTCGTGGGAGAGTCTTCGTAAGCAGATCTGCTACCAGAGTTTCCCCCGGCTCATGAATGACCCCAGCTTCCAGATCCCGAATGGAATCCCGTAACCAGCTAGCCCGAAGAGCTACTCCACGTGTTTTCCATTTTAGTGGTTGAAATGTCTCTCGAAGTGCTAAGATAATCGCCGCCGCATTATCGCACCGAAGTGTGATGGGGAGCGTCATTCCAACCAGCAGATTTACTGCATTCTGCATCCGCCCGCCCTGGCTCAGGCATTCTGACATCGCGACGGTTTCGGCCTCCGTCGCCGACCATGCTGTCAGCGTTTGTTTTGCAGACGCCCAGTCTATGATGCTAGTTCCTATCATATACACCATGCCCGATCGCGATCTTCCAGCTGTTGGTGCGAATGATGCGTCACTGAAACATGTGAACTCCTTGATGTCTTTCTGCGCCTTGTAGGTAAGGCAAACGTCCAATGTTCCACGGATGTATCGCCACACATGGCGAATCAACTGCAAAACCCGCTTTGGTCTATGAGTTGATGCCAAAATCCCCACCGTGCTGGCTATGTCAGGCCTCGACCGCGTACTCACCCACAAAAGTGTGCCTAATTCTCGCTGACACTCAAGCTTATTCTGTTCATAGGCCTCGTCCTTGACCTCATCGTCGTCAAGCTCAAGCTGCGGTAAAGCTGCACAACCCTTAAGGTGCAACCATTGTCGACGATGGAGCTCCTGTAGAATCCACGCGCGTTGATTGATGATCACATCGCCCTCCGCGTTAAATCCCATTTGCACTCCAAGGAAGACGAGCTCCGTCTTACGTTCCAGTTGCCCCAAACTTCCACATGTGATGTCACACGCTGCACGGCTAACAAATCCCTGAAGTTTCAATGCCCATTTCTGACCAATAAACTCCAGACATCGCGATACCATTTCAGAGCATGCTACAACCAGTACGTCGTCCACGTACAAGGTCAGTAATCCCATCACTTCTCCCGATGCAACATTCACCAGCCTCCAAAGGCCCTCGCAAATATCAAGGGGTTCAAGTCGTGCTGCTGGCATCTTATCTCCTTCACGAGGCTCAAGAACGCTCCCATTCAAGGTTGAGTCTCTGTCTTTTGCCCACTCCTTAGGCGAAATCCGAAGCCCATACAGCGCTTTCAGCGGGAGGAATTTAACCCCCTTTTCCACCAAACCTAACTTCTTCATTACCGCTGGTGGATCAAGAAGTGGCGCTTCTCCTCGCCTCAACTCCGTATTGAGGAATGCTGTCGATATATCTGCCGCACCTGCCACCCACATTGGTTCCTGAGCAAGCTTGTGGTACATTGTACGCACTATCCAAGATGGGACGTTCTCCGTTGATAGCTCGTCCTTTGCGAACTCATTGTTTTGGAAATTTCCGCAAGCTACCAACCTCGCTTTCGCGAGAAACCCTTGGTTGTCAATGCCTTTCTCAGTGCTGCCAGGTTCTACTGGTTTTTCGGATAACACCAGCTTCATGGGTATAGTTCGAGGAATCTCCTCATCATCCTTCAATTGCAAGTCTTCTCTTTCATGACCTACGCGAATGGGCATCAGAACTTCTTTGGTTTCTACACTTGTCATCTCTTTTCTGACTGCTCCAATCCACTGTTCAGCATGTTCTCCTGTCAAGACAGAATTTGGTACCACTTCTGCTGATCCCCGCCGCTGCTGCGCTTCATGCAATAAGCTCTGAAAGATCTCATCCGTTTCACGCTCATCCTCTTCTGTTCTTGTGATGTACTTCTCGGACTTGTCAGGTGCAATCAACTGGAGCAGACACTGCCCGGCTAGCCACTGCTTTCATGAACTTATGTCCAAATGAATCTTCAGGTTCATCTTTCGGTTTAGGCTCCTCCTGAGTCTCCTCGTTGATGTTTTGCATCCTGAGCATATGGGCTTCGGCAACCTCCGGTAGCTGAGCGATGATACCATGGCTGAACAAGTTGAAGATCTCCTTTTCTACCTCAGACCCTCGAGTCTTCTCAAGTAGATTGTTCAGCTTCACGAACACCTCATCCGGGCTCGCGATGTGGTATCCTAGCTTCTCCTCCACCGTGAGGATGTCTGCATCAGATGGTGCAGCCCATGCAATCTGCCCTTTGTCCGAAATCCATGTTTTCTGATCGCTACCAGGATTCTCTACGAGTCTCCATCGTGGTTTCTCCTTATCAAGAAGAATCGGCAGTCGAGCATACCGAACAAGGACACGCCCATCACGCTCAACCAACACCTTGGACCCGTTTGCCACATGCTCCGAAAGACCCAAGAAGATTCCGGGTTCCGTGCGATCCCGAAAATCAGGCATCTGATCCCTAGGTAGTCGCGACAATACGTAATCGCCTGGAGCAGGAAGATCTCTGGGAATCTTCATGTTCAGCGCTCTCATGCGCCGGAGCTTTGCAGCATGAACCATTAGCTCATCCCAGAATCTCAAATCCAGCTTACCGCCTAGGAGCATAGAGGCAGTTGATGTTTTCAGTTGGTCGATCAAGTTCTCTACTCGTCCGTTCGATTGATGTGAATAGGGGACCGCGAAAGTTCGGTAATGATTGTAAGTCTTAAGCTGTTCAGCGGACAGACGAGCAGTGAACTCACGACCCTGATCAGAATGAATCCGGAAAGTGATCTGTTGCCCTTCAGCCATGGACACCAACTGATTCAAGATGTCTCGCAAAGCCTCTGTCACAACTGCTGCCTCCTTAGTGCGAATCCCTCGCACAAAAGGCAGATCAAGACCTTCAGCGATGTGTGCACATGCAACCAATGCATAGCGATTCCCTGCAAAGGATTGCTTGTGCGGTCCACTCAAGTCTATTGAAATCACTCCGTCGCTAACGTCTTTCGCAGATAGCTTCCTGTGGGGCCGACGATGGCCTCTCGCTTGGATGCTGGCATGATTCTTCTTATCATACAATCCTTCTCGGCAAGCCTTACGCACAGCATCCTCAGGGGAAGAAGTGAGGGGTGATTTCAAGTCAAAGTCAGAGGCGCCCGGCCATGGATGCTCGGTCTCTCTCTCGCTCCGGACTTCTCCTTCAACATAACCCTCACAACCCCACACCTCACCACAACCCTCATTCCCTTCATCATCATTGTCATCAGGAGAATGGAGAGGAGAGGAATGCTGCTGTGTAGAATGCTTGTAAGTGTCATGCTGTAATGTGTTTCGCTCCTCAAGCGTCACTGCGGCCTCGGGCTTCAAGCATATCTCTGATGCTTGTGCGATCAATGCCCTGAAAGCTGCAATGTCCGCGTCACTGGCTGCAAAGAGTCTGGCACTGGAATCTTGATGTGGCAATCTAAATCCCAACTCCTCAAGCTGCCCTCGCGAATCCAAATCAAGAGCTTTCCAGCCCCTTGGAACATACGAGACCATCACGACCCTGTTACCAGCATATGGTTCTGTGCCATGCCAGCAAGTTCCACAGAATCTGGCCGATCGCCCTTCATCAAGTCTATGTAGCTTTCCCGGGATGGGCGCGGAATCCGCCTCCACATACCGCCACACAGCCTGATCTTCATCTAGTTCGCTCGATGCGACTTCTGTCCACAAATGGCCTCCCTGGAAGCTACTAAGACCTACGATCGTAGAATCAAATGAGCCGTCATTCGGATCGCGATGCGGCCTGAAGGCCACGTCTTCAGCTATAACAACAGCCATAAAAGGATCTTTGGTGTGTTGCTTCATGTACTTCACGGCAAGTTTGGTAAGGAAGGGGTGTTGTTTGGTGATGCGCGTCACTCCATACAGACCGCCCTTAACATAGGACCCAAAAACCCAAATCTTCGCAACCGATGGTTCTCCGATCACTTTAGAACTCCTACGAAGGATCATGGGCCTCAGGCCTGCCATCTTAACAGCTTCGAGAACCTCACCGTGTTCGATGCAGTCCTTTTCAAGCAGCCCTTTCGCAAAGGATTCGCTAGTCACAACCTCAACGGCCTTGCAACCCTGAACGTGACTCTCAGGCTCCTCCTGAAACTCCAAAACATCAACCCAGTCAACGACCTGGCTTTCGGGAGGAATGGAAGGTTCTTCGGGGTTGCATGCGGTGGCCTTGTGGCTACAAGTGCCCTTCTGCTGCTTCCGGTAATGTTTGCTGAGTGCAATGCGCGCGAGTTTGAAATCAGACCATCGCATGTACGGCAAACCATTGGTAACGATGCAATCAACGGTCACAATCCTGCCATGCTCAAAAGGATGGGGATATGATATCCTAGCGCCCTTCTGGTCCCAATTGAATGCCCCTCCAATGTCAATGATCTTCCTCACTCCCACGATCCACTCTCCCTTCGCCCCATTCTCGGATATCATGCACACCTCTCCGTGCTTGTTCAAAGTGGCCGTGCAATGCGAACCTGATGCAAGAGTGACCTGAAGCGTTTTCTCATCTACTGCAGGCTGTTGTTTGGTCTGTGGACGAAGCACTTCATTTGCCCCACTGTCAACAAGAACAAACCCGTCACTCTCAGCACGATTGCCCGATACACAACACATGTTTGCGGCACCCTGGCGCCGCCTACGTATCATGCCGTGAAATCTTTGCTGAACTTCAGCATTGTACTCTTCATCACTCACCGGATCCCCAGCCTGCCACGAAGCATAAAGAGAGAATGCAAGCTCCTCAATACGGTCTTCATTCATCCGAACTCTCTGGGCCCCGATCGGGGTGTACGCCTCAGACATGACACCTCCATGCTGAAAGAAATCCTCGGCAATCTGCCGCGGAACTCCGTTGTCAATCAAGTCTTGAGGACCCAAAACAGTAAGATCATCAGCATACTCGGCACCCAGTAAACCCAGAACCTCAGCTAAGTGATCAAACCCGTGGCCAATCAACATGGACTCGAGCGGAATCCTTTCCTGAATGAAAGCGTTGGGAGCACCAAAGCCAAATCTCAAGCACTCGCTAACCCATGCATCCTCGGTCCATGGCTCCACGTACGGTCGATTTCTTTCCACTGCAACCACAAAGCGAAGTTTGCTCTGATCATCAACACGCTCAAGCTCAAAAGCCTCGGCCCTCTTGAAGACCCTTGTGACTGGATCCAAAGCCCATACAGTGTGCACAGCTGTGACAGTCCATTCATCATTCAACACAGCTGGAAGCTCATCTAGCTGACCTGCCCTTTGCAAATGCCATGCTCCATGCTCAACTCTGTGATAATCGTCGATGTGTTCAAACTCCGCGTGAGCCTTAATGACAATGTTACCCGGGCTAGTCCACATTCTCCATTCCAAACCCGTCAAGCGTAAGCTCCAGATCCATGCAACCTGATCATCATCACTCTCCTCCTGAGACTCATCCCCAAACTCGCTCGGGGTTGAGTCGCCGCTGTCAACACTATTCAGCTCAGAAAGCTCTGAAGGAGAAGAGTTGCCTTCTTCAGAGAGTTGATCACTCCCACGCAATGCCATATTTGCACACACCCGATAACATGAGGCAGACTTTGCTTCAGCTCCAACAAGTGCAGCCGCTTTAGCCTTAGCTCCTGGTTTCGCCTTGGGTTCCGGTTTATCCTTTGCTGCTGCTTCCTTTGCCGCAGCCTTGGCTTTGGCTTTGGCTTCCTTGGCTTCCGCTTTCGCCTTAGCCTTCGCTTCAGCCTCCTTGGCTGCTGTTCTTGATTTCGCATCCTCCTTGCCCTTGCCTTTGCCTTTGGCCTTTGCCCCTTTAGGATCACCATGCCAATACTCGCAATCGTTTCCTTTCAAGCATCCCCGCTCGGTGTTGAAGAATGCGCATGGAGTGAACTTGGTGTCCCCTGTTGCTTTCCCTTTCTTCCCTTTCCCCTTACCCTTAGCAGCAGTGATCTCATATTCCCCAGTACCAACATCAGAACCCTTGGCATGATGTGGCTTGGAGAACTCCTCTGCTTCAAGCCGTCGCGCTTCCGCCTCAATTGCCGTCTGTAGGAGACTCACTCCCTCCTCGGTGGGATTCAAGATCTCAGGGCGAAGTCGAAGCAGATTCAAGCGTGTACTCAAGGTGGGACTCTTCTTTTCCAAAGTTCGCACCATGTTGTTAAGGGAAGAAATAGCTTCATGTGGGGGATGGCTCGGCAATCCAAGAACAAGAATCCTTGATGTGGCCAGCTTCAACCTTCTAAGTGTTGCCAAACACTCAGTGAATGTACCCGCCTGCGGTAGGTTCCTCAAGAATGATGTCAAGCTTGATTTCTCCTCGATGCCACCGGGCTGGTAGCGCTCAAGAATGGCCTCTAAGATCGTCAAAGAAGGAACCACTTGACCCGCAGCAGATTCAATCACACCTCGCTTAATATCGTCACTCGTCTGGGAAAGCAAAGTCATGGCCAACCTACTCTCAAACTCTTCACAACCGCTTGCAACTGGAGGGACGTCGGGGTCATGAACTCCGGCATCCATGCATCGTTGGAAACGCCCCAATGCAGTATCGATTTGGTGCCTAACGAACTTTCCGAAGCCCGTGCCGATACACGACGCAACTGACACCATCTCAGTGGCATACTGTGAAAACTGAAGGCCTCGTTCCCATGCCTGCCCACGTGGATCAAGAATCTTTGGAAACTCCTTCATCAATTTCCACTGACCACCTTGAACGCGCAGATCTTTGGGCTCCAACTGCAATGCTTGACTTACAGTCAAAGATGTATCTGCCTCTACGAACTCACGAGGTAAGGCTGGAGGTGGAGCACTTGGTGCCCATGTACCGTTAGTCAGCCCAGGTGGGTTCCCAAACCAATCCTTGATCGGCTTCTCATCAAAAGCATCCCACCACTGGTCTCGATCATCATCCGCTTCATCCTGGAGTGGCGTCCCACTCGCCATGTTGAATGTTTGGACCCCGCTAGGTCCATTATCTTGCACCTCATGCGCACGCTCTGGTACTGGAGGATCTGTCTTTGTTTCACGGCTCAAGATATGGCTAAGGTGACCTTGGATCTCCTCATCTCTCGCTCGCAGCTGTTTGCAAATCCGTTCAGTTTCCACAATTCGTGCCATGACCGATGCAAGCTCCTTTGATCGTTCACTCTCATCAACACGAGGTCTGGACTCGAGTTTCTGAACGACCTCTTGTAAATCAAGAATCCTCAACCACAGCTTGTCTGATTCAAGTTTATTCTGCTTCATGAAGGTTTCCCTCTCGGCATCGCCACTAGCTAAACCCAGGGACTCCAATCTGAGCACGCGGTCATTCAGCTCATTCAATCTTTGGCTCATCGCCTCATGGAGAAACACTTGTCCCTCGATGCCATCGACTCGCTGAACAAGATGTTTCACGCCCTCTGTCAACTCAGTCACACGCTGACCCAACAGATCATACACTTGATTGCTCTGCACTGCAGCCTCCCGTAGCTGATCAATTCCCGCTACAGCCGTAGTTAAGCCTGTCGCAAGTATATTCGTTCGGCGCTCCGCCTCTATGCGAAGCCCTTCGAGATTTTGTTGCACCTGCTCAATGTTGCTTATGGCTACCATGTTCCATTGGGACCCTTCAAGTTGCCTCATCAACTGGATCACGTCGCCATTAGCTGTCCTGATCTGTTGCATCTGCCGAATCAAGAAATCTGCTCCTGGTGCACTCATAACAACATCTCCAGCTTGCATGCCCTGGCCAGTGACAGGAAGTGAAGATGACTGCTGTTGCTGTTCTACGGAGTTACGGCCCGGAGCGCTTGGGCTCATGACCTGATGTTGGTTAGGGCTGCTTTCGGTGACAACAGAGAAATGAGAGGGAGTAGGAGAAAGCATCTGGATCGGAACATCATTCATCAAAACCTGAGGCATCCTATCATCAGTATCCCCCGCCATCGCTTTCACCTCTAACCTCAATCCTCATTCACCTCTTAGCCCTGAATCCCTGAACGAACGCACCCTGAACACCCTGTACACCCTGAACCGGGGTAAAGGACGAGGGTACCGGGACAGGGGGGACAAGGGTACCAGGCAGGGGCAACCCAACCCCAAAAACCCCAAAACACCCAAAATCCCTCACAGTCTTTCTGCATCTCCGAACCTTGAGCCAACCATTGTTGGCATAGTTTATGGTTAACCTCAGTGATGACTCGTTCTGCGTGTCATCCTTGCGCAGGGGCTGATGCATCAGACGACATGTCCAAATGAGCAAGAGGGCTTCAAACATGCGTCTACAAACAGGCTCCTTCGTACCTTGCCAGTCTTGGCCTGGCATGCACCATGGCCCTGACATACGCGAAGCGCAGCAACCACCAGTCACAACAGTTACAGTTAGAGCAGCCACCCGGCTTCGGCGGATTTGGTGACTTCGGAGCAGGTAACTTTCCAAATATGCCCGGCGGGCTTGGCGATTTTGGCGGGGGGGGCATGCCTGGAGCCCAAAAGAACGACAAAAAGGGCGGCTTTCCGGGTATGGGTGCCTTTGGCGACTTTGGTGGGGGTGGCTTGCCCGGCTTTCCCAAGCCCGGTGGCCAGTCCCAGGCTGGCGGCGGCGGTGGCCCCTTCCCTGGAGTTGACATGGGTGGCATGATGGACATGATGGGTGGCATGATGGCGGATGCTTTGAACTGCGGACAGAAGGAGCTGGAAGTGGCTTGCAAAGACCCATCTTTTCAGAAAAAGACTTTTGTGCCGCTGTGGTACTGCCTCATTGCCACTGGTGACCGAGACTTTGGCCCCATCCCACCGTGCGACTCCCCCATCAAGATCGGCGATGCCTCAAAGTGTAAGAAGAGCGACGAGGACATGCGCAAAGAGATGGAAACGGCCAAGTCCATGTGCTTTGGAAGGCTGAAAGAGCTCTACGACTTGCAGGCGCAGTTGGGTCAATGTGCCGTAGGCATCAAGCAGGAGACGGAGAAGGTGGAGAGCGAGCGCCAGGCTTTGCAGAGCATTCAGCATGAGGCAGAGGAGTGTGAGAAGACGAAAGCCAAGAAGAAGGCCGAGGAGTCCATGGGTTCTTCCTTCTCCTCCGGGCAGGGGCAGGGCCAGTTCTGTCCCGCGCATGCAACGGAATTGAAGGATGCTTTCGCAAAGTACACTCTTGCCGTGGAGCAGTGCATCAGTGTTCAGGTCTCCGCCACTGTGCACATCCCTGAGATCGATATCGTGGTACCTGAGATCAAGGTCGGCCAAGTCCAGGGCACTTCCTTCAACATCCAGATGCCTGACTTCAATGCCCCGGACTTCACGGGCGATATTGTGGCGCCTGGCGGCGGAGGGAAGCTGAACGTGGCGGTGGAGCAGCACGGGCACGGGAAGCAAGGCCAATCCGAAGGGCAGCAAGAAGCAAAGCTGACCTTCGACCAGCGCGTTGCCAACATCAAGGCGGACATCAAGACGTGCGAAGAAGCGAAGCCAAAGATGCAGCAAAAAAGCAAGGAGATCGCTGAATCGAAAAGCACCGTCCAGGAACAGAAGCAGAAGGCCCGACGAGTCTTGTCTTGTGACAAAAAATTTCTTAGGGCCCAGGTAGGCAGCACCTTCCCGAGGCCTGCGATACGGCCGGCAGCTTGCTGCAGACCGGCGCCAGCCCTGAGGCCACTATCGCCATCCAGGCCCGCCTCATTGTCTCAGTCCTGCTGATAATCTGATGTCCCCCTTTGACAGGTCTTCAGCATGATGAAGATGACATGGGGCTGTCGCGAAGTTGCCACGGCCATCGATGGGCTCGTGGCGGTTTTGCAGTCTTGCTGAGCTCCGACTTGAAGACCTCAAGATCTCGGCTGTGCTTGATGGCCGTGAACAAAAAGTTCAAAAGCGCTGTCGTTGATGTCGAGTGCATAATACTTTCTCACGCCATTGCCTGGCACTTGCATTCCGCTGTGATTTCGCCCTTGGCTCCACCGAGTTTCCATGTTGGTTCATGTCGTTTTCGGTCGTCGTAGTAGCAAGTTCCAACTGATGCAGCCATTCTTCGGTTCTTTCGTGTTTGGTTGAGGTGTTCTTGGCCACACTTCCGGGGACGCACCTGTCGAGTGAACCTGCTAAAGAGAGACCGGGTGGAGTCCAGATTCAAGATAAGCTAAGAAAAGGTGATAGGTGTCCTCACGAGTCATCTACCGACTGTTTGCTTAGCTTCAGTCGCTTCCCATAGCTGAGCCTCCAGGAAGCAGCAGAAGTATCCCGCTCCTAGATCTCTGTTGCGATTCGCGATATTCCGATACCTTTCAGGTCGAAGGGTTGTCACCAACGGGAGCCGGCGAGGTGCCGCGGCCCAGCGGCGGCGTTTGCCTCTTCGATGCGCCTGAGCGGCTCACGAAGTGCGCGGTGCAAGCCTGGTAGTGAAAACGGGGGCAGCGGAGCCTGCGTTTCGCAGCTCAGTCAATGCTCCTGCTGCATGCCAAATGCCAGCAAGCAAGGTGAAGTTTCAAACCCTCTGTGCATTTTGCTCGAAGAAGCCGTCTCCTGCCCAGTTAGGTGATCGTTTGCTAAAACTTCGTCCGGTCATCCGGTCGACCCCTTTTCGTGATGGCTCCTTCGTACCTTGCCAGTCTTGGCCTGGCATGCACCATGGCCCTGACATACGCGAAGCGCAGCAACCACCAGTCACAACAGTCACAGTTAGAGCAGCCACCCGGCTTCGGCGGATTTGGTGACTTCGGAGCAGGTAACTTTCCAAATATGCCCGGCGGGCTTGGCGATTTTGGCGGGGGGGGCATGCCTGGAGCCCAAAAGAACGACAAAAAGGGCGGCTTTCCGGGTATGGGTGACTTTGGCGACTTTGGTGGGGGTGGCTTGCCCGGCTTTCCCAAGCCCGGTGGCCAGTCCCAGGCTGGCGGCGGCGGTGGCCCCTTCCCTGGAGTTGACATGGGTGGCATGATGGACATGATGGGTGGCATGATGGCGGATGCTTTGAACTGCGGACAGAAGGAGCTGGAAGTGGCTTGCAAAGACCCATCTTTTCAGAAAACGACTTTTGTGCCGCTGTGGTACTGCCTCATTGCCACTGGTGACCGAGACTTTGGCCCCATCCCACCGTGCGACTCCCCCATCAAGATCGGCGATGCCTCAAAGTGTAAGAAGAGCGACGAGGACATGCGCAAAGAGATGGAAACGGCCAAGTCCATGTGCTTTGGAAGGCTGAAAGAGCTCTACGACTTGCAGGCGCAGTTGGGTCAATGTGCCGTAGGCATCAAGCAGGAGACGGAGAAGGTGGAGAGCGAGCGCCAGGCTTTGCAGAGCATTCAGCATGAGGCAGAGGAGTGTGAGAAGACGAAAGCCAAGAAGAAGGCCGAGGAGTCCATGGGTTCTTCCTTCTCCTCCGGGCAGGGGCAGGGCCAGTTCTGTCCCGCGCATGCAACGGAATTGAAGGATGCTTTCGCAAAGTACACTCTTGCCGTGGAGCAGTGCATCAGTGTTCAGGTCTCCGCCACTGTGCACATCCCTGAGATCGATATCGTGGTACCTGAGATCAAGGTCGGCCAAGTCCAGGGCACTTCCTTCAACATCCAGATGCCTGACTTCAATGCCCCGGACTTCACGGGCGATATTGTGGTGCCTGGCGGTGGAGGGAAGCTGAACGTGGCGGTGGAGCACCACGGGCAGCAAGGCCAATCCGAAGGGCAGCAAGAAGCAAAGCTGACCTTCGACCAGCGCGTTGCCAACATCAAGGCGGACATCAAGACGTGCGAAGAAGCGAAGCCAAAGATGCAGCAAAAAAGCAAGGAGATCGCTGAATCGAAAAGCACCGTCCAGGAACAGAAGCAGAAGGCCCGACAAGTCTTGTCTTGTGTCAAAAAATTTCTTAGGGCCCAGGTAGGCAGCACCTTCCCGAGGCCTGCGATACGGCCGGCAGCTTGCTGCAGACCGGCGCCAGCCCTGAGGCCACCATCGCCATCCAGGCCCGCCTCATGGTCTCAGTCCTGCTGATAATCTAATGTCCCCCTTTGACAGGTCTTCAGCATGATGAAGATGACATGGGGCTGTCGCGAAGTTGCCACGGCCATCGATGGGCTCGTGGCGGTTTTGCAGTCTTGCTGAGCTCCGACTTGAAGACCTCAAGATCTCGGCTGTGCTTGATGGCCGTGAACAAAAAGTTCAAAAGCGCTGTCGTTGATGTCGAGTGCATAATACTTTCTCACGCCATTGCCTGGCACTTGCATTCCGCTGTGATTTCGCCCTTGGCTCCAGAACTCCACCGAGTTTCCATGTTGGTTCATGTCGTTTTCGGTCGTCGTAGTACCAAGTTCCAACTGATGCAGCCATTCTTCGGTTCTTTCGTCTTTGGTTGAGGTGTTCTTGGCCACACTTCCGGGACGCACCTGTCGGGTGAACCTGCTAAAGAGAGACCGGGTGGAGTCCAGATTCAAGATAAGCTAGGAAAAGGTGATAGGTGTCCTCACGAGTCATCCACCGACTGTTTGCTTAGCTTCAATCGCTTCCCATAGCTGAGCCTCCAGGAAGCAGCAGAAGTATCCCGCTCCTAGATCTCTGTTGCGATATTCCGATACCTTTCAGATCGAAGGGTTGTCACCAACGGGAGCCGGCGAGGTGCCGCGGCCCAGCGGCGGCGTTTGCCTCTTCGATGCGCCTGAGCGGCTCACGAAGTGCGCGGTGCAAGCCTGGTAGTGAAAACGGGGGCAGCGGAGCCTGCGTTTCGCAGCTCAGTCAATGCTCCTGCTGCATGCCAA